GTACAGGAGTACACTATTTTATAAATTTTAAATGGCATTTACCATGCAAAATTTTGAGAAACTGGGATAATAGGCAAATTTTGGTAGCGTTTTGCCATCCTAATGTACATACAAAATTTTACAACAATTGATCCAGTAATTTCGGAGAATAATAAATATTAACAAAAATCGACAGACACCGACAACAAATAGACAGACAGACAGACAGACAGACAGACAAACACTTTGAAAGGACCGAAAAGGACAGTAAATTTTCGAAACCAATTTTTATTACGAAAAAAAAATGGTCCAAAGTATATGGTCAGAACTTTCCTCGTCCCCGAAGTACAATCAAACAAATCCAGGTTATTAGATACTTATAAATCGTAAAATTTGATTCTGCGATTTATTTTTACTTCCTGAACGTAAGCAAAGGAAGTATTGTAATCGACTCCTTTGGCCAACTCCCTACTTTTACATTTTCTCGACTTTTCATGACCCCTAGAAGACGAAGAAATAGGTCTTCCGTTTCCGTCTGTCTGTCCGTCTGTTTGCCGTCCGGATTTTTATTAGACAGATAATCTCCGAGAGTACTGGACCGATTGTTGTGAAATTCTCTATTTATATTAGGAATATCATGTAGATGGTAAAAATCTAATCAAAATTTACCTAATCATCGCCACCAAAAATGTGATGACGTGACTTCAAAATTGTACATAGTAAATGGGTTTTAAATTATATAAAATAACATAGTCCGATTCAGTTTTTACCCGAAAAGTCCAGATTTAAAAAAAAAAATCAAAATCATGAAACAACATTTTGCAATTTAATTTGGAATCTGCAAAACCGAATACTTTGAAATCTTGCAGATTATTTACAGTTATGATAAGCATGATAAATTTTTATTCAAAATATATTTACTTGTCCCCTCCAAAAAACTGATGACGTCAAAATTTTGCTGAATAAATCATATCTAAAATGTGCAAAATATGATGAGTCTGTACTTGTCCATTATTTTTGGATTTGCATATACAGAGTGACCCCTAAAAATTAATGAATGTGTAGATTTATTTTATTGATTTAATCAGGAACTACAAAACCAAATGTTTTGAAATCTTGGAGATGTTTTAAAGGTATCATAGGCATGGTGAATTTTTGATTAAAATGTGTTTGCTCATCCACCCTAAAATTGATGACGACACCCAAAAAAAATCCAAGTTGATATACGTGTCCTTGCAAAATTGTTGATGACATCATCACAAAATTGTGTAAAGAAAAAACTCAACCCGAAAATGCTGGATATGTTTCATTCAACTTTCGACCAATTTTTTTTTTATAACTCCTGTAAATTAAAATAAAAATGAGTTGTGGATTACTGAATTACAGGAAAAGAGACATGCTATGCGTATTTCTTGTAAAGAAATAAGTAATTTGCAGTTAAGCTCCGCCCCCTTGGTTCACGGCGAATAAAAAAATTCATTACAATTGAGATAAGGCGGGTGGGCGGGCTTACATTTTGCCTTTTGTCAATTTCCTTAACGCTCTACCCATGCATGGGTTACTGCTACGTTAATGAATAATTTTTCTTAATTTTACATCACAATATCCTTTACATAAAAATACATAGATTAAATACTATTTTATTATAATCAGATACTCTAATTATTGGTTATTAGTTTCATTTTATAATATGAAACACATACGGATTCTCCATTTTGGGGAGGTCACAACCTTAGGTCACAATCCTTTATTCACTAGTTTTTAGTACATAAGCATGCATTTTGGCGAGAATTTAAATTATCAAATTACCAGGAAGTATAAATAAAAATTTTGGAATAATTCTACAAAGAATATACTTATCAATGTTTTGTGCGGTAGGTGTTTTCTAGAATTGTATATAGACAAAATTTTGAGGATTTGCGTAATATAAGCTAGGCGTAGGACGTAGGTTTAGCCACAATTCACTGTGATAACAGTTTAGGTTAATAGTAGATATATCACTTATCTGTCAATGATAAAATCCACATCAAATCATGTAAACTATATCATTAGGTCAGAAAGAAACTCCTGGTATTTTACCTTTTTGTATTATTTCTACGAAAGTATACATGGTTCACGTCACGTTAACCCTTTCAAGGTCACAAATTTATATTTATAGCAATGTGACTGTGACTTCTCTTTTTCTTCCACTATCCCCTGTGTATATAACCAACAAGGGTTGATTTAGTAGGTACCTAACCAAGTCAAGCATTATGTTACTGAAGGTTATGTTTCCTTAACATTACATTTACCCTTATAGTAATTTTCTCTTTTTTTTTTGTCGAGCATGATTTGAAAATTTCATGTTTAAAAAACTGACTAGATACCAAATGTTTTCATTTCATCATTGTACTAAAATTGACAGGGTTATTAGAAAGTGAACTAAGTTTAGCTTTATATGTTAAAAAAATAGCAACCCTTTTGACTGAAGATCATGACATTTGAGGCCTAAGTGCTTTTTCAAAAAAATCCTATTTTGTTATCCTTACCAGTTCTTATTCAAGTAGTTCGCGAAGAGTCTTGGGATCTGTTCTATTTTTATTAACTGACTGAACTATTTAATTCTTCTTAAAAATTGACAAAATTTGCAGAAAAACAGCGAACATACGAATTCCCAGCAATTGCTTACCCTTGATTTTTCAAAATGTTGAAACTTTAGCCACTACATTTAAGTGTCAAAACCGAATAACAGGTAAATATAGTGTGGATTTGAACATTCACTTGACATATAAGTCGATTAAAACTCATTTTATGGTTGGAAGACCTTCATTCACCTACATCTTGACATGGAAACTATTTTTTTTTTTTATAAAAATAATAAGAATAATAATAATTTTATGTGAGACATGTTTAAGTTTTGAATTTCCTTAGCGCGTAAAACTGTGTTTTGACTTGACATCAACAGTCTATAGTTTTGCCATTGCCACTATACAAAAATTACTAGATCTATAGGGAAATTTTAAGTTACCAACACAAAGCAACAGGTAGTGGACTTAAAAAAAACATAGGTACTTTACGAATCTTTTGAAAATTTTTACGAAAATGACATTGATCTTAATTGTTACATATTTACTTGAATTTTACAACCATCAAAAGCTCTTGGGACTAATTTTTCTAAATTCAGTTTTCAGTAAATTATATTCGTCAGGTCTGTCGTGTCAAAATTTTTGGCCGCAATCAGTGTGGCAATATGGTAATACTAATAATATAAGTTCATCGTATCATATCACTTATCTGTCAATCCTGTGGGCTATATCTATATCCTCCACAATATAAAAGGAGTAGGTTAAGTGGAATAATTGGGATAATTTTCAGATTTTTCTTATTAAAATACGATGAATGACTGACTGCTGGTATTCCACTTTCAAGTATTATTTCTATCTTTATCTTAGCCTAGCCTCGCCCACCTCCAGTCTTCTCAGTTTAACGACTAATTTTATTTCTGCTCAGTATAAGATCATTCATTCATTCATACCGGATAAAATTAATCTCTGGAATGAAGGCAGGGTGCGTGGGCCTAATTACGTTCTCCTATTGAATGGAAATGGACACTAATAGAATCTAGGATGCGAAAAAAGTAAAAAAAGCGCTAGTCGTAAATTTTTCTTACACTATTTGCTACTGGAACTGTAAAAAATACGAAGAAAAGGAAAAGTCGAAGTCTACAAGAAAATGTCTAGCTAATGTTCGAAATTGGTTGCAAAATAGTCGAAATCAGTCATATCTTATCAAATACCAGCCCCGCCCACCCACCCTTTCTTTTCTTGGAAGATATTTCATTTGCCAAAAACAGTTTTATCGTATCAAATATTAGCCCCCCCTTGCATTTTCTTGGAAAGTATGTCATTTGTCAAAATCAGTTTTATCTTAGCAAGTACTAACCTTATATTATAAGCCGAGACGTAGCATTTTGATTGAGGGCCATGACATTTGAATCTAGGTACTTGGCGTGAGGTTAAACCAATTGCTTTGGGCAAGAGCAACAAAAAATACAGTCAAAGACAGCTATGGATTTTTGAAAGTTTGTCTTTGATAGTTGCCTTGTCAACTTTCAAACTGACGGTGACCTGACAAGACAAAATTCCATCCACTGCTGTCTTTGATTATGTTTTTTTATTGCTCTTTCGGTAGGGCGAGTTTATGAATGAGAATTGTTGTTTTTTTTTTTATTAATGAATGTTCCTATACCTAACACTGTTGAGTGTTTATAAAATATTTTGGTATAAAATTTTATAATACCTACACAGCTTTTGATTTTTTATTTATGCCATTTCTGTAATTTTATATATTTTGACATGTAGTGGCTAAAGCTTCAATTTTGTGTCGAAATCATGTTGTCATCAAATTTCGCCGAAAGTTTTTTTTTGATAAATCAGTTGTGGCCTGATTTAGTAAATCATATCTAACAATAAGTCTTATTAATTCGCCGGATTAAAAAGTAATTATGATTATTACATCCGGTGAGGCAACAAAAGCATGCCCTACAATGTCGCAAGAAACAAATATTGTGTTTTCAACAACAGGAAACCAAACAACTTCGTAATCAATATTGAACCATTTTGCTGATGATTGCATTATCGCCCAATCAATCACATTTGCACACAATAAGCAAACCTAAATGAAAAATGAGAAATATGTGTCTATTTTTATCTCGTTAATTCCCCCTCTCCATCCTGTTTATTAAAAAAAATCTGTACCAACAACGCAAAACTGATAAAAGCCATTCAAAAACAATAAACCTACTGCAAACTGTGTACAAAATGACAGGTGATGAATGATGACGTTTGCGATTGACATCTGTCACCGATGTCACAACAACAAAAGGCACTTAACCTTAAAACCCCATCCTTTATCCTGTATTTATTTATCCAGAAAATGAGTCAATTTCGGCGAAATTCGCCGGCTTTTTAAAAGCAAAAAGTAGGGTTCGTGTTCGACCAGATCCGGCGAAATATTAATTCGATTGCGCAACGCCACGACAAATATTATGTGATCGGCGACCAGCGTTCTAATTTGAAACGTAAATATTTACAAATAGTAATGTGGTCTATAATATCGGCGATATATTCGGTTTGATAGTGAATGTTCGCCTGGTTTAGCTTGGTGCGGCGAGAGCGATAACTTTCAAAGGACATGGTAACATGGTACGTTCCATTACCCATGCGAATGTGACACAGTGAGTTGCGCCCCAGTGCCGGTTTATACAAGTTCAGACTTGAGTTCATTGTATGTTGGATAAGCGATCGATAAAGTCGCATTACTTCCGAAATAAACGCTTTTTGTGTGCATTTTTGATCCAGTGAAGCTATGGGCCTGAATCAAGGTAAATACAACTTTCTTGCTCACTTCCGCGGCTCGAAAGTGTCCCGAGTGGAAAATTCCGCGCCTTTCATACACTAATTGTTTACCCCGAGTATAAATAATAGTGAACTGGTCCGGGATCCAACCGGGCCCAGTTTATTTTCACCAGTTTGTTATTATTAGATGCAGCTGACGCATTTTGGCAGTGAAAAATCGGCGTAAACACTATCAAAACGGATTTTATCGGCTTTTCCAGTTATTAAACCTGTGATGTTTCCCCGGTGCTGATGGTCTGTTTTCTTGTTGCAGTGTTCTAACCCGACAGGCTCCCAAGTACCAGCAGTTGGTCGAAGAGTGGTATCGAACAGCCACATGCTAAAACTGCGGCTGGTTTCCACTCATTTCCTTAAGCAACCATAGATTTGCGATGTGTCGAGATAGGGATATGAACCCTTAAGTCAACAGATCATTGCCGTACTAGTGCATGCTGTATTTTTCATAATCCGTACACAACTAGTTTTAAACCTTCATATTTTATAAGATTGACTTTTCTGTTCTGCGGAGTTTGTGTTCTCATCAAAAGTGCTATGTAAGTACGTTATGTAACCACACCCTAGGCTAAGCATGCTGCTGACTTAAGCCACACACCCAAAATAACCATGTGGGCCCGCCGCCTCATATCTAATCTATTTTAAGCCCCCAAAATTTACAGGCCTGTTTACACTATTGTAAAGCAATAAAAGGATGAAGGTGACACAATAAACCACTTCCCCCAATCGCATAAACAAAAATAAGTTACATAAAACGTTGTGTCACCATACAAGTAAAACAATTCATGTAAAATATGCTCCAATATCACGAAATTTATAGCGAATTTTCGTGTTCAGTGATTTTCCGATTTGTGTGTTCAGGATGTTATCTGCTCTATTATTATCTGGAGCATGTGCAAGCCAAATATTTCCAATAAATACAACGCCGATAAATTATGAAGATTAGTTCCGAGCCGCACTTAATGCCAAAAGTGATAAATCGAACGAAAATAAATGGTTCTTGATCAGTTTTAATTACTTGGGTTTAATTGCGCCTAAAAATAACTCCATCCAATTACAAACCCATGTGCTATTAGTGGGAATATTTGCAGGTGATTGTTGTTCTTACCCCACGCGTCCATTCCATTGTTAATGAAATTATAAATATAGATCGCGTATTTTTAAAACGGGAGTGCGTGATCATTTATTTGAGTGAAGTTGGACATTTATATGCTTTTAGGTTTAGCAGACATTTTTCGCAGAAGGATACCGCTCAGTTTATCTGTAAAAAAAATTAAGTGGTACTCACGCGATCCCATCCTATTGATCACATGCGTCAATAAAATAAATTTGTTGGTAATTGTTGTACAGTTCGCGTAGAAAAATCACAAGTTTCCAGTTGGCGTTTTTAATTGTGCGCGAAATTTTGTGTTGGCAGCAGTAAAAATATTAATTATAGCTTTACCAAGTGACACTAGATCATGCCGAGATGTTTCATGATTATAAATTTGGACCGAAAATTCAGAGTGAACGTGGATTTTGGCAGGCGTGGCTGTGTCTGTTTCAGGGTGATTTTTAGGTACATTTTTGTGTGTGTTTTAATTTAAAAGCGACCCATTTTTGCCTACTAACCCTCCTGAAATAGATGACATGGAATTGGCAAATTTATGCATGCACTACATATTTTTCGTATCATTCACATTGGCGAGCTTATTTTATAATACATCGATTTAAAAAAAAAAAATCAATTCCAACAATTTGATGTATTATGGGTTGCAGCAATACATTGTCAAGGCCGAGCCGGTTGCCAAGTAGTCTAAATACACAAGACAATTGATTTCAGATGAACTACAAAAAATAAAGTCGTTTCTTATACACAAAATGTTTCATCTCATTTGTTCGTAAAATTCGTAATACGCCAATGTGGTATAATTCAAATTTGACAGATTATTTCTTCCACCCAACATTTTTTTTTACGTATTATGACCGAATCTGTGACGCAAATTTACATTTCATCTCAAACCTGATTTAATATGCAATTAATATTCATGTTCAAAGCACCCAGAACAAGGTGGAAAAACGAAAACACAAATCTTTTTAATTTAACGTCAAACTTGACATTGTTTGTCGGAGCTCGTGTGCATGGCTGCCAACTCAACTTAGTTTAATGATTTTATAACATAAATTTTCTCCATAATAAAAAAAAACTGTCACTATGTTGTCGATTACTCCCTACTAACATCAATAAACAAAATGTGAATATTTAATAAATGAAAAAAAATATAAATTTTAATGAAAAAGTATTAAATTTCATTTTGAAGGTATTTTTATAAAACCTCAAATTTTTGACAGACTTACAAATTTGAAATTTCGTATCATGGAATATCGAAGGAATTTAATTCTGAAAATATTTACTCTGAGGAATTTTGAAAATATTTAGAACGATAAAATATTTATAGTCATGAATTTATTTATATTGTGTATAGGAAGCCGTACAGAAGGTCCTGCACAAAAATCTACTTTTGAACGTGCAAATTTGAACAGTTCAGAATTAATTTATTATCCACAAAGTGAGAGTAGCGATAAATCTATCAACTATCCGTGTCAGTTTTATTTTTCTTGATGAGATACACACAAAACGGTGTTGTGTTTCGGAACAAATTGTTTTTTAATTATTATTACTATTGAATTAAAAACAGTTTTATTTTTTTATTTCACCGCGCTACATAAATTTGAAATAATTTGCCATATGATAAAAAAATGCTTTTAGTGAGCCATGGTTTTTTTTTTTAATTGTGTTGATATCATGAAATATTATATGTATTACTCCAAAATCAAAAATCTACCGACACCGCAATTTCTTCGAAAATACAACTGACAACGTTGCTAGTGTCAGTTTTGGTGATTTATGGTAGTGTAAAATAATTAAGGTTATGTTTCATTTCATTTTCATTGACAGTTCTCAAACTTGATAGTGCCAATTTTACAGTAATTAAACTATATAATGAATTGTGTGTTTTTACTTATTGAAATAAGGTCTATCGGGCAGTCGGGAAAACATGAATGCAGCCGACTGGCTGCATTCATGTTTTCCCGACGTTTCAGGACCCCTAGAATACGAAAAATTAGGTCTTTCATTTTCGTGTTGATTTTTATTAGTCAGATACTCCGAAACTACAGTTAATAATATCGTGTAAATAAAATATTTGTGGGATTGATGGTTGAAATTCCGACTTTTTTATTGTTCGTTTCTTCAATTTTTGATTTTAAATTTGTAATAATTTAAAAAAAAATCACATTTCCAATTTAATGATTTTGTGTTTACATTTTTCAATTATTGTATTTTAATACTTGTCATTTATGCAACTTTTCGATTTTTAATTTCTTCAAGTTTTCGATTTGCAATGTTTTGTTTCGGTTCTTCATTTTCTTTATTTCTACAATTTTTCAGTGTTCCAACTTTATAATTTTTAGCTTTTTCAATTTCAATTATTTCAATTTTTCGAATTGCCATTTTTCACTTTTTCATTTTCTTGTTTCTTCGATTTTATGACATCCGACTCTTTAAGTTTTCATTTTTAAGTTTTCCAGTTTTTCGATGTTCTAATTATTAGATGTTTCAATTTTTAGATCTGGCAATATTTCTATTTACAATTTCAGGAGTTTTCAGTTATTGATTTCGGCTTTTTAATTTCTTTAGTTTTTCAATTTTGTTTTTTTAATTTCTAGGTTTTTCAGTTCTTCGTTTCTTCAATTTCCAAACAGCAGTTTACCTAGTTTTCATTTTAAGTATGTAATAATTACAATTTTTTTTTAATTTCCAGATTTTCTACTTTACGATTTTAGAAGATCTCCATTTTTCAATTATTGGATTTTAAAACTGTTTCGTTTATTCTTTTTTTCAATTTTTTGAGTCAGTTTTTCTATTTCTCGATATTTAATATTTCAATTTTTCGATTTTACAATCTTTGGGATTTCCAATTTTTCGATTCGATTCTCTTTTTCTTTCTGATTTTCCGTTTCATTAATTTTTTTTCGATTTTGAAAATTCACGGTTTTCAATTTTTCAATGTTTCAATTTTTGGTTTCCCCACTTTTTCGATTTTAGATTTTTTCGTTTTTTCAGTTTTTCGATTTTTTTTTTTTAGTTTTTTCGAATAAACAAAACATTACGAAATTGTAAAACTGAAAAATTAAAAATTAAATGCGAAAAAGTATAAAATGAAAACTGGCAATTTAAAAATTGAAAATCAGGAGTTTGAAAAACGAAAGAAACGATAAATTGAAAATTCGAAAAACCGAAATATGTACTGTCAAATTGAAGTACTAAAAATTAAAGAAATAGGAAAATTGGATAATTACTAGCCCCACCCACCCGCCCTGATTTTTCAAGTTTTCGATTTGCAATGTTTTGGTTTTCAATTTTTTGATTTTTCAGCTTTAGATTTTTATTGTTTGTTACTTCAATTTTTTTTTTAATTTGTAATAATAATTTAAAAAAAATCACTTTTCGAATTTAACGATTGTATTTTTCCATTTTTCAGTTATTGTATTTTAATACATTGTCATTTATGCAACTTTTCAATTTTTGTGTTTTTAATTTTTTCAAGTTTTCGATTTGCAATGTTTTGTTTCGGTTTTTCATTTTCTTTATTTCTATTTTTGCTTTTTAAATTTCAATTATGTATGTCAATTCTCGAATTGCAATTTTTCAATTTTTCATTTTCTTGTTTCTTCTCTATAAATTTTCATTTTTAAGTTTTTCAGTTTTTCGATCTTCCAACTTTTGGATGTTTCAATTTTTAGATCTTGCAATTTTTCTATTTGCAATTTCACGAGGTTTCAATTTCTGGTTTCGGTTTTCTAATTTCTTTAGTTTTTCAATTTTCTGATTTCATAATTTTCCTGTTTCAAATTTTCGATTTGCCATTTTTCGGTTTTTGATTTTTCGATTTTTTAACTTTTAGATTTTTTAATTTTTTAGTATTTTCAATTTTAGTTTTTTAATTTCTAGATTTTTCAATTTTTCATTTATTCAATTTCTCGACATAAATAATCTTTCAATTTTTCTTTCTTTCAATGTTACAGTTTTTCGGCTTCACAATTTTGAAGATTTTATAATTTTTCGATTTTACAATTTTTGGGATTTCCAATTTTTCGATTCGATTCTTTTTTTCTTTCTGATTTTTCGTTCCATTAATTTTTTTTTGCAATTTTGAAATTTCTCGGTTTTCAATGTTTCAATTTTTGGTTTCCCCACTTTTTCGATTTTGCATATTTTCGTTTTTTCAGTTTTTCGATTTTCTTAATTTTTCTGATTTTTTAGTTCTTTCGAATAAACTAAATGGAAATATTACGAAATTGTAAAATTAAAAAATCAAAAATTAAAAACGAAAAAGTATAAAATGAAAACTAAAAATTTAAAAATTGGAAATCAGGAGCTTGAAAAACGGAGAAACAATAAATTGAAAATTCGAAAAACTACAAACTGAGAAAATCAAAAATCTGTCAAATTGAAGTATTAAAAATTAAAGAAATAGGAAAATTGGATAGTTACTAGCCCCACCCACCTGCCCTCTCTCTTCTTCGAGGGTATCTCATTTCCCAAAATCAGTCTTATCTTAACAGGTACTAACCCCGCCCACCCACCCTCTCTTCTTTTGGAAGGTATATCATTTGCCAAAATAAGTCTTATCGTAGCAGATGCTAGCCCCGCCCACCCACCCCCTCTTTTCTTATAGGATATGCCATATGCCGAAATCAGTTTTATCTTAGCAAGTACTGATGACTAATTTTTACAAAAAATGATCAAAATTTGGAAACATTATATGCACAAGGCACGAATTTTGAAGTGTTTAATTGGTTATGCTTTCATGGATTTTCCATTTGTTTTTGTTTATAATTTATAAATGTTTTTTTGGTTTATTTATTAATGAAAAATAAGACATAATATGTTTTATTAATAATAATGGACAACGCCTGCTGGTTGTTATGGTTATTGTCCTAAAAAAAATACAAGGTGGATTTCAGTCACCATCGTTACTAAAAAATCAGAAAGTAAGCGGGAGGTATTTACGCATTAGGTGTGTGCAGTGTTGTCAATTTTACTTTTATAAAATTACGTTTTTTCCGTAATTTACATCATAAAGAATGTTTTAATTATTTTTTGGGACTCCCGAAACTCCCGTACATAACGTACTGAAGAGTTAATCCGCCATTTTCCAAACATCCTGTATATTTTTTTATTTATAGGCGTTATTTTTGTAAAATCAAATTTTATAATTTTTCGAAAAAGCTTGATTTATTCCACTGTATTTTCAAGAGGCGAGGGAAGTTCTGTCTAAATAACCTTAGGGCAATTTATTCAAACTGTATCCAACAAGTGGTAGATTTTTGATTTTGAAGTAAATTTTAACGGGTGTTTCAAAAATGGCGGAAAAGCTCGATGATGCGTTAAGAGCTCGAAAAAAGTGGTTAAAAAAATTCCTGAATCATATTTTTGAAAACACCAAACTTCAAAATTGAAGAATCGACTTCGTAATTTAGATGCGTTCTAACGTAAATTTACGAAATTAATTCTTCTACTAAGTTTAATATTTTCAAAAACTTGGTTCAGGGATTTTTTTAATCATTCTTAACAATATACCATCGAGCTTATCCATCATCTTTGAAACACCCTGTATATTAGAAAACAACATATTTGACCAAAACTTTTTTGATTTTTGATTTTACTTGTTTAAAAATGATTATTCAGGTAGTCTTGCACAATTGCGGTTATTTAAAAATTACTGACATTTTTTTAAATTTTGGATTATTTAAAAAATAAAATATTAAAAATACAGCAATGTTTTATTGTAAAACAAAACAAAAAAATAGTAAAATAGTAACTTATACTTTACTAACACAAGTAAATACAAAAATTGGCCTACAGTTTTTGATAAATAAAATACGTATACATATTGCCTCAGATACTATTTTTTTTTATCCAGTATAGAAGGCAAATTTTGGTAAGCATTTTACGATCTATATCTGTCCGATATTGTTTTAATAAAATCGTCAACGAAAACGGGGGACTTACTTTGTCATATTCTAAGAGCTACGAAAAGTCGGGAAAGCAAGAAATTAGACATTTTGTAGTTTTAAATTTGAGGAATTATTAAGCTATTTCGCAGCGAAGACAATAAAGTTCAGTCTTTATCACGAATGTGGGTATTAGTTATGGAGGCGAAGCCTACGTGAACAATACAAAATTTCCGTGTGAAGGTGTACATAATTTTTTCTGCAATTTGAAAAAGTAATGTTTGGTTTATTGTTATTTATTATTATTTGTGCGTAAGTTGAAAAATTGAAAAATGATAACAATCACATAATATCTAGTCAAGTCTTGGTAAAAGGTTAGTTTTCTCTTCATAGCACTAAAAGTTTACAAAGAATTTTTGCAATTTTTCATAACAAAATTAGAAATTGTACAAAAGTGTGTGTTCCAGTGGTAGCAAATTTTGTTCTAGTTTTTATTTGCTTTACAATTCTTTCAATCCAAGGATCTAAAACCTCTAATTTAGATTTTGTAATGTTGATTGAAAAAGTCAAGTTATAGTTTATATCCAGCGATGTAAAACTGGTTGTCTATCTTCTATGGTACAAATTTAAACAGAGTCGGTCTTAATAATAAACAGCAATTTTAAATAAGTTGTTCATGTAGTTTTCATAATAAACATTTATCTTTTACTTTACTCATAACCTGAAAATAAGGTAATTCCGGCAATTCAAGTAAAGCGTATTCTTAGAGTTTTCAACATCTACTTGAAAGTTCGCGATAACCAGATAGCACTTGAACAACTCACTCAAATAATATCCTTGGCGCTGAACCAAAGTAAATGTAAATTGAGGTGTAAAACCTCATTTTACCACATTGATTACCACTTTTATTATCTGGTTTGCAGCTCATAACATTAGTTAAAGCAGTGACTAGTACTCGAAAAAATTCCCGAATTGATTTTGACACCGCGGATTATAAATACTCACATCTTAGGCTTCATCGACTTTCTCGTGTCTGCTTTCCCTCCGAACTCTAGACCATGTAATTTGTGATATTCATTAGTCTCGTATTTAGAGTCCGCCGCAGCGGTTTTATTAGCACACTCGTTACCACGTACTCGATCCACTAATCACCCTGATTATTCTCTTCCAGCACCCCAAACCAGAGACTCGCCATTAAACAATGAAAGGTCCCTCCCGAAAAGAAGAATCTCAGCAAAAGTCCGGAACCTTGCTCAGCTACAGCAAAGACTTCGGCAAAATCAAGTGCAAATCCCAGATCCCGCTAAGCTTCGACGAAGCAAAAGCGTCATGCAAGGCACGAAAAAGAAAGGAACGGCAAGAGAGCATCAGTTCGCTCTGCCAAGAGCGCAAAGTGATCCGCTCGAATTCCGAAGAGAGGCCGACGCAGAAGAAGTACCTCGAGAACAAGTCGATCCGCCGGGTTTCCAGCAGCGAGGACTTCCAGAAATCCGATCCAAAGAGCGTCACCCCGTTTGAAAAGCACGTCTCGCCCAATCGACAGAGCTCGGACATCATCCTGATCTACGACGAAGACTGCGAACACGAGAAGAGGCGATCGCACGAGCGGTTCTCGAAGCCGCTGGCTTTGAAGAACAAAAAGTCGCACAAGAGCCGCAAACCCAAAGCCAGAGTGCTGCAGAAGCCCAAGTTCAAGCCGGAGATCCCGCACGAAGGGGGCAAAGATGAACCGAAGGTGCCTGAGGGTCAAGTGGAGAAGACTGATGATAAAGTCGAGATCAAGGTGGAGGGGTTTCTTCAGCTGCACAGGGAAGAGAAGGAGAGGTCGCCGAGTCCGGTTAGGCAGTTTTCTCCCGATTTAGATTTGTCTACCCTTCACGAACAAGTGGATTGTTCGGAACCTTTGTTGTCTTGTGCTAATCACCAGATTAATGAAAACACAGAGACTCTGCCTGGGTTGTCGGTGGCGTCGAATCGTCTGTTGTCGTCGCCACGGAATTCTATAATCGCCACACACAGGATCTATCTAGATCCGGATATACCGCAAGCTAATTTCGGGCTTGAGAATAAAACGCAAAACCCCTTAGAGTTAAGGATGCAGAAGATTACTAAACAGATTAACAGTAATAAGAAGAAGATCAAGAAGTACGAACTTGAGTTTGAGACGAAGCATGGATACAAGTTGTCGCATGCCGATAAGCTCAATGACAAAAATATGAGAAAGTTGTATATGGAGTTGAGTAAGTTGAAGAAAGAGCAGAAGCAGTTGACAGATGTGTGTCCCAATACGTCTGGTGAAGACGAAGATACCAAAAGCAATCTCAGAAATTTGCAGGATACGCTCAATGATATTGAAAGGGTAAGTACTTTTTTTTAATTTTTATTCATTGACAACACAATCGATACAGAAGGAATTGAACTATAATTATTTTCAAGTGATTAAACTGATTATTTTAGTACGTTTCGAATTTTACAATACTTCAGATTTTAATCCCAGGTTTAATCAGTGAAAGCTGTTGGACTTCGTTTATTGAAAAGTGAGTGTGATGAATTAACTGTAGTGATATTTATAGTCACATTTGGATTGAATGCAATCAAAACAGAATCGATTTCAAATGATTTAATTTAGAGCGTAGGATTTAGATTATAACTTAAAATTGACAATAAAATAAAAGGTTCCGAAATTTTCACGTTCTTTTCTCAGAAAGTAAAAATTTTATTTTAAAAATCCCGGGGTGTAAGCATTGCGCATGTGTCGTATTCCCGCGTTTTAAGAGTTCTAGACCAATAGAAAATGAAAAATAAATTTTGTATTTGATGACTTTTATATTTCACTAAAATGCAGTATTCGTTCAGCAAAATTTTGATGAAAATATTGCTTCCATTGTAGCTCTTTGAAAATATTTCTTACAGAGACGGATAAATTCGCGATGCTTTTATGTTATTGTGTTGACACCTGAGGTAATGTGTTTGGATTGGAAAGACGTTTTTAGAGGATGAGAAACGACAAATCAATTTTACAAACATGTGTGACGTCCAAAGTGATATGATTAAACTCGGGCGTTGTGAAGCTCGTAATTTAATTTGGTTCCATTGTTGTTTACTATGGGGTAAATTTGAATGCTTCTGTATTGGAACTGGGTGACATTTCTTGCTTGCCGTTATTCAACTAAGTATCTATAATCCATAATATTGCGTGAGTTCAGACGTTATTTGATTTTTTTAGTTTGTTCTTCCAGTGCTTTTAACGTATTGATTAGATAAAAGTACCACATTTTCGCTGTTATGTTTGTTATTACCTGTGTGTGCATGATTTTAAATATATTTAATGTTTACTGAGTAATAAATTTTATGCCGCTATATTGCTTCACACATGTACTGTATAAATAACGTTCTTGCGGACTGTATGTTTGAGTAATATTTTTAATTTTGTTTATGTTTTGTTAAAAACACTGAAAGTTAACAAACCGCACATCAAAATGTGTTTTTCGTTCTCTAGGTCAGTGACAACTATAAATAAAGTTTTATGAAAGTAGACGTAAATAATTCAAAACAGTTATCATCCTTTGTTTCGATTTTGTTTAATTAGGTTAGGTACGTAGTTATAACAAGGAAAGACAAAAATTACGCTAAACTGTGAAATAATAATAATCGACGAAAACAGAAGCTGTCAGAACACTCTGTATTTTATTACTGTTCTAAACTCAAATAACTTTCAACTACATATATAAGTGTTCTGAGTATATTTAGGGGGAAATACATAACTTAGTTTCTTTAAATGGGGCACCCTATATATTTTTGCATATTATAACTGACCTCTTCTTATTTATTTTTGAAGTTCCATTGCCGCATTGCCACATCATTCTAATTTTCTTGAAATTTTTTGGTTATTTTTATTAATCTGTGATTCAATATTTTGTGGAGAGATAAATAAGGATACGTAAGAACGTCGAGTCTTGTTATATAGTGTTTATTTAAAAAAACAATGAATTATAATTTTCGAATTAATTATTTTTTATATTTAAAGTTCATAGTTACAGCAATTTTTTACTTTTTTAAGAGATACACTGACATATATTCGGGTGTTCTATTTCAAGAATCTGAAATATCGATATTTGAAAATTCTAACAAACATTTTTTTATAAATATTCTGTATATTACAATTTTATTTACTGGATAGCACAATAAATCACATATCTGTGTTTATTTCGCCATAAAATATTGCAACACATAACCTAAAAATAACTTTATTGCGTTTATTTTTGTGAATTGGAAAAAACAATTCAAGAAAATGGGAACAACGTGGCAACGTCGCATCGGAATTTCAAAAATAAATCATGGTTACAAAATTTGATAGAGAGGTTAATGAGAATACATATGCAAAGATATATAGTTCTTTTATTTAAAAAAAAAAATAGTTTCACCTTATTTGACCTATTTTAGAAACGGCATTACTTCCTGTCGACAAGTCATTGACCTGTCTTAGAACCGGCATCATTTTTTGTCGACCATTTTAATTATTTATAAATACAGAAAATACAGAAATTATAAGTACTAACTACAAAAACTAAGCAAAAAAATTGGTCGAAAGTTATTTCGACAGAACTTCTGAAGTGCAGTCCAACAAATACTGCTTCTCTGAAAAATTATAAAATTTGATTTTGTGGAATTTTACTTTTTCGTGATAACCTCTATGGAGTAAAAATAATATAGAAGGTAAGTAAGTGTAATAAGTCTTAAAAAAAGATACTTGGAGTCCCCAAGAAGGTTTCGCCTTCTTTAAAAAAGACATTTGGGACCCCCGATAAGGTTTCACATTAAAAAGGAAGACATTTGGCACCCCCGAGAAGGTTTTACATTTGAAAAAAAGACAGTTGGGACCCCCGAAAAGGTTTCACATTAAAAAAAAAACATTTGGGTCTCCCGAGAAGGCTTTACATGTTTAAACAGGACAGTTGGGACTCCCGAGAAGGTTTCACATTCTAAAAAAACCTTTGGGGCCCCCGAGAAGGTTTTACATTTTTCAAAAAGATAGTTGGGACCCCGAGAAAATTTCACATTCTTAAAAAACAAGACATTTGGGGCCACCGAGAAAGATTTTACATTTTTAAAAAAGATAATTGGGACTCCCGAGAAGGTTTCATATTCTAAAAAAAAACATTTGAGGCCCCCGAGGTTTTACATTCTTAAAAAAAAAGGCATTTGGGGCCCCAGAGAAGGATTCACATTCTTAAAAAAATAGACATTTGGGACCCCGAGAATGTTTCACATTAAAAAAGACGCCATTTGACTCCCCCGAGAAGGTTTTACATTTTAAAAAAAGGTAGTTGGGACCCCCGAGAAGGTTTCACATTCTTAAAAAAAAAAGGACATTTGGGACTCTTCAGAAGGTTTCACATCAAAAAACAAGCCATTTTGCGTCCCCGAGAAGCTTTCACATTAAAAAAGAAGCCATTTGACGCCCCTGAGAAGGTTTTACATTTTTCAATAAGATAGTTGGGGTCCCCGAGAAGGTTTCACATTCTTAAAAAAAGGACATGTGGGACCCCCGCGAAGGTTTCACATTAAAAAAGAAGCCACATGACGCCCCCGAGAAGGTTTTAGATTTTTAAAAAAGATAATTGGGACTCCCAAGAAGGTTTCATATTCTAAAAAAAAACATTCGGGGCCCCCGAGAAGGTTTTACATTTAAAAAAAAAAAAGGCATTTCAGACCCCTGAGAAGGATTCACATTCTTAAAAAAAAAGGACATTTGGGACCCCTGAGAAGGTTTCACATTAAAAAACAAGCCGTTTGGCGTCCCCGAGGAGGTTTTACATAAAAAAAAAACAACTGGGACCCCAAGAAGGTTTTACCTTTTTAAAAAAGATAGTTGGGATCCCCGAGAAGGTTTTATATACTAAAAAAAACATTTGGGACCCCCGAGAAGGTTTTACATTCTTAAAAAAAATGCATTTGGGGCCCCAGAGAAGGATTCACATTCTTAAAAAAATTGACATTTGGGACCCCCGAGAAGGTTTCACATTTAAAAAGAAGTCATTTGACGCCCCCGAGAAGGTTTTACATTTTTCAAAAAGATAGTTGGGGCCCTCGAGAAGGTTTCACATTCTTAAATAAAGGAAATTTGGGGCCCCTGAGAATGATTCACATTCTTAAAAAAAAAGGACATGTGGGACCCCCGAGAAGGTTTTACATTTACAAAAAAGAAAACTGGGACCCCAAGGTTTTACCTTTTTAAAAAAGATATTTGGGATCCCCAAAAGGTTTTACATTAAAAAAAAAGCATTTGAGCCCCAGAGAAGGATTCACATTCTTAAAAAAATTGACATTTGGGACCCCCGAGAAGGTTTCACATTAAAAAAGAAGCCATCTGACGCCCCCGAGAAGATTTTACATTTTTCAAAAAGATAGTTGGGACCCCCGAGAAGGTTTCACATTCTTAAAAAGAGGTCATTTGAGGCCCCTGAGAAGGTTTCACATCAAAAAAACAAGCCATTTTGCGTCCCCGAGAAGGATTCACATTAAAAAAGAAGCCATTTGACGCCCCCGAGAAGGTTTTACATTATTCAAAAAGATAGTTGGGGTCCCCGAGAAGGTTTCACATTCTTAAAAATAGGACATGTGGGACCCCCGCGAAGGTTTCACATTAAAAAAGAAGCCACTTGCCCCCGAGAAGGTTTTAGATTTTTAAAAAAGATAATTGGGACTCCCGAGAAGGTTTCATATTCTAAAAAAAAAACATTCGGGGCCCCCGAGAAGGTTTTACATTCTTTAAAAAAAAAGGCATTTGAGACCCCTGAGAAGGATTCTCATTCTTAAAAAAAAAGGACATTTGGGACCCCTGAGAAGGTTTCACATTAAAAAACAAGCCGTTTGGCGTCCCCGAGAAGGTTTTACATTTAAAAAAAGAACTGGGACCCCAAGAAGGTTTTACCTTTCTAAAAAAGATAGTTGGGATCCCCGAGAAGGTTTTATATACTAAAAAAAAAACATTTGGGACCCCCGAGAAGGTTTTACATTCTTAAAAAAAATGCATTTAGGGCCCCAGAACAGGATTCACATTCTTAAAAAAATTGACATTTGGGACCCCCGAGAAGGTTTTACATTTTTCAAAAAGATAGTTGGGGCCCCCGAGAGGGTTTCACATTCTTAAATAAAGGACATTTGACGCCCCTGAGAATGATTCACATTCTTAAAAAAAAGGACATTTGGAACCCCCGAGAAGGTTTCACATTAAAAAAAAAGCCGTTTGGCGTCCCCGAGAAGATTTTACATTTTTAACAAAGACAGCTGGGACTCCGAGAAGGTTTCACATTAAAAAAAAGACATTTGGGCCCCCTCGAGAAGGTTTAACTTTTTTAAAAAAGACAGTTGGGACTCCCGAAAAGGTTTCACATTCTTAGACATTTGGCGTCCCCGAGAAGGTTTAACATTTTTAAATAAAGACAGTTGGGACCCCTGAAAAAGTATTACATGTTTAAAAATACAGTTTGGATCCCCGAGAAGGTTTCACATTCTAAAAAAAAACATTTGGAGCCCCCGAGACCTTTTTGAGAAAGTGGGGTAATTTCATCAATAAAAAAATTGTTATGACGTCATAAACATAGATAATACACAATGCGAGAGAAAAAGAGAAAAAAAAGAAGACCAAGTTTGGTCCTGACTCAGAACCACTAGACAACCACTGTTAGTGAAAAACTTAAAGCGGATTCGTACACCAGAGGACTATATTGTTGTATAACAATTAAATCAAATAAACATAGAATTCTTTGAAATGACGTCAACAAACTTTTAGTGAAGATGATTAGCAAAACTGTGGTTAGCATTTAACCATTTACATGATATTTCTAATATACATACAAAATCGGACAACAATCGGTCCAGCAGTTTCGGAGATTACATGTCTAATAAAAGTGGATACAGACAAACACACAGACGCAAAACGGGAGGCTACTTTTTCGTACTCTAGGGGTCATGAAATGTCGAGAAAATATAGAAGTGGCTGTTTGTCCGATAGACTCAATGAAAAACATAAACACTCAATTTTGACACAATTTATTCGAATTACCTACAAGACAAAAACTGGTCGACAAAAAATGATGGAGGTCCTAAGACAGGTCAAATTGGTCAACAAAAAATGATGGGTGTCTAATAAAAAATCGTCTATTTGAGAAAATTGAAATATCGATACTTATTTAAAAGTTAATTTTTTGTGGACACTCTATTATATTATCCATTCGTGATCTTTTTGAAGTACTGTAACCTCACTTGACATACCCCTTGTAAAATTTTATGACTTAAGCGGCCTAAGCCAAACCACCCTTATAAGTTAAACTGGCTATTGTATGACTTAACTCAGTTCACAGCTCCATTATGGCAACAATATAATAATCCTTGCGGTTCGGGTTTCGGGTGCATAAAGATTACAATAGCCAGTTTGACTTAAGCCGCTTAAGTTGTAAAATTTTACAAGGTGTATGTCAAGTGAGGTTACAGTCAGCATTGATATTTTTTCTTTATGTTTTATCGGATGGATACCTTTTTCAATAAAGTCAACAGAAAGTTTAATTTTGTTAACAATGTTTTAAGTTTTTGACACATTTCCTAACCTTACATTTAAAACAGCATATATGTACTAATAAAAAAATGAAGGAATTTTGATTGTTTGGTCCCAACTACCAACAAACTTACTAGATTTTCGAAAAGATCGTGAATGGATAGTCGAGTTTGTTCATTGAGGTTTTAAATTGTCGGATAGGATAGGGATTTAAAAAATCTGTAATGACAGTTGTTGACAACCCTTGACAGACAGCAAAATTTAATTATTAATAATCACATTATGAGAATTCTAGAATGTAAAGGCAGTTTTTGTAGAAATTTAAAAAGTATGAACTGAATTATTTTTGTATCATTTAAATTTAACCTCAAATCTACTTTTACCAAAATAACTAGATTAAGAGGCGGTTTACAGAAGCTGAATTAAATATTTGGTTAAGTCTAAGAATTTGTATAAAAAAATTAAAGGTGTTTCATTAAAAAAAAACCGTACGGTATGTTGCACCGCAGAAACAGAAGACTGTTATAACAAAAATTAGGTTAACAATAATGTAACATTTTCAGTAAATAACATTTTGAGTAAAACATTTTAATTTTTTTTTTAATACAAACCAAAATTGTCGCATGAACTCTGAAATGTATATTTTGGGTTGAGTGAATTTATTTTAAAAATGAACTATAAAAAGATATGGAAGGGCGTGCTTAGTGACTCAGCCTGTATATATAATTACTTCAAAATTATTACCTGTGCAGGAAGTATATTTATGAGGTTTTATGGGGTCTTTAAACAAAGTCGATTTAAAGACCTCATAAAATTGGAATCTTGCACTTCCAGTTGCACCGGAAATAAAAACGTCTGTTTTTTGAACCTATTTTAGGAAGATTATTTGTGTCTTAATCCAGTAACACGATTTACAACAGATTTTTGGATTAATTAATTTTAAATTGTTTTTCGACAATAAATTCCAGTTAAAAGGAAACTTTATTATCAAGAAGATTACGTTAACTTTTTTGTTTAATAAATACGTCAAAAATACCGGGTGACTAATAATGGTTGAAGCAAATTTTTGTTTTGGCAAATCTGAATTATTGGCATCTGTCATAAATGTCACTTTGACAGTCAGTTATGCAATCATAAACTTTTAAATAGATTGCCAACTTGACAAAAAAATCAGTGTATTTAGATTAATACAAATTAATATTAGAAGTGTAATTCAGCTGACTAACCCCCCATACTCTTTTTTCCAGAGGTTGTCCCAAAAACGCGAACTGTCCAAACGCCCCAACCTCCTCGATCAAATGTCCAGCGAAGAACTAATCGAAGAAAAAACCGCAGTACAAAAAGCCCTTCTCTACCTAGAGTCCATCCACGGCCGCCCCGACAACAAAGAAGACCGCAACCTGGCCCGCCCCATCTACGACCGCTACAGAAACCTCAAGCGGATGATCACCAAAACCCAGTCGAACTCCACCGGCAACGAGCTGGCCACCATCCACGAGGACGAAACCATGACCTTCATTCCGTCGTTCACCCCCCAGCTGAGCGAAATCGACTCCGAGAAGTCGTCGGTCCTCGCCAGCACCGACAGCAGCGACACCGACACCTCCATCAGCGAGAACCTGCACTCCCTGACGAAGTTCGAGCTCATCGAACAGCACAGACTCGTGTCGGAGGAGAAGAAGGAGCTGCGGCGCACCATCAAGACATTCGAACTGGACATTCAGCGCAAAACGGGCCGGATGGTGCAGAAAGAGGACAAAATGCCAATTGAACACGTCTACCTGGCTTACAAGAAAGTCAAAGCTAAGCTCAAACTGCTCGACGCTTTGGTTGGCAAACAGCTGTGAAGCGCTGCAAACTTACAAGTACTAGTGTGTTACTGTAATGTTTAAAGCTATAATTCAAGTTGTAGAGTTTTAATAATGTATGTGCTGTTACTGTTTACGAAGTTATGTAAGTTTTTTATTTGGATTTGATCAGATTTGTAGTCATTGCTAATTAAACTACTCTGTAATGTTGACAAGTGTTTGGTTTTTCGACATAACCTAAAATTTTATTGACCAATCAAATACAGCTGGACACTAAGGAAGTCTGATGTTTAATTTGCGAGGGCAAACCCCGACGCTTCAACGTCTGGGTCGGGACTTTTTGCGTGCAATCAAGACAATAAAACTTAATTGGTTGGCAAACAACAAATTAAAGCAATCAGCGTTGATTACTGGCTTGGAGCGGGTCAATAAGCAACGAATGAGTCCTATTTGTACTTTTTATTCGGTGTTAATACACTGACAACAAAAATACATTTAACAATTTACATAGGTATATAAATATAAAGTTTGCTCTAAATTCGGGCACCTACATCTCCATACTCTTCATATAGAAAAAAATAAAACTAAAAATAAAGGAATGTGAGTTAACTTAACAAAAATTCAAATTGCACTTAATCCAAGTCCACGCCGTTCTAGAAACAACCATTTATTATAAAATTAAACAAACACAACAACACACATAATACTATACAAATACGTAGCTCATCCTTCCCATGTTTAGTGTCTAAGGTTAAGTCATGGTGAAACGTGGTTACATACATGATGAACAAGAAGAATATGTAATCCTAACATCTCATTCGAAGGTAAACTACCATTCAATTAAAATTATGAAACACAACAATAATGGCACAAATAAATATTTAAAAATAAATACTAATTTAATTGTTAAGTTCTAAAAGATTGCGATTTTCGAGTGATTCTTTAAGCATGTGGAATAACTGCAGCTGCTGCTCGGGTTTCAAGTAAAGAACTTGAGACAGCAGCTTTTGCGGACTATCCGTCTGAATAAAGCTACTTATGTAGACGTTGACGAAAGTGGCCATCAGAAACTGGCAATCAAAGCGGTCCATGATGCCTCCGTGACCCGGAATGACGTCACCGAAATCCTAAACACGTGCGCCAATTAAAACACATTCCATAAAACTTTTATGAGGGTGCTAAAACTTTCTACACTACCTTGATTTTAAACGCCCTCTTAAATCCAGACGCGAAGAATCCTCCAAAAGGCCCTATCACGCTGCTGAATATCGAGAGCGAAAGCGAGTGAAGCACGAACGGATACAACGAAATGGTGTTTGACACTCCAAACTAAAAAAGATTTTTTTTATTGAGCAGGAGCTTATTGACGTGACTTACGACGCCCAATACTGAAAGCCAAGAGGGTAAGCTGTATTCTGTGGGGCGGAACAGTGCACTGGGTTCGCATTCCATTGTCATCCGTCCTAAAGTTTCACTGTATTCGATCGGACATACGAAGTACGGATATTGACACATCACGTACGACATCTGTAATTCCGGAACACAAAATATTATTGTGAGTCATTGGAATTTATTGTGACAGTTTAATTAAATGTGCGTGAAATCGTTAATGATAAGAAGTTAATTAGGCGTGTGGCGTATGGAAACAATATGTCGACTCATGTGCAGTAATTATACAGATAATGCGAAGGTTTTATTGTATGCAAACGATGATAGTTATTAGGTGGGAATATTTACAAAAATATAAATGAGTCGAGGCCAATCAGAAATTTAGAATTATTGATTAGTGATTGGCTGATCATCATATGGTTTAGTACTGATCATCTGATTTTCTTAAGAGCGATAACTAGAAATAATTGAAACATTAGATCTAATCGATTGTATTAATGGTGCTTTAAAATTACAATTGACTGTAGATAATATTGACAAAAGAGTAAACCATCACATATTTATCTGTTTTTTATTTATTTTTTCATTATTGACACTTCTTTTTGTGGAAAAAATAAGTGAAGTGTCCCGACCTATCTATGGCCTTTATGACCATAGCTGACACCATACGATTTATCCTCATGATATTTTTCAGAGCCGAAGTTAAATAATAGACACGATCAAAGGCAGCCATGTATTAATGAAAATTTATCCATTTCTGAACTATGATTCCAGTAAAAGTTACGTTTTCTCGATTTTTCATTACCCCTAGAGTACGAAGAAATAGGTCTCCCGTTTCCGTCTGTCTGTCTGTCTGTCTGTCTGTCTGTCTGTCTGTCTGTCTATCTGTCTGTCCATCTGCCGTCCTAATTTTTATTAGACAGATAATCTCCGAAATTACTGGGCCCATTGTTGTCAAATTTTGTATTTATATTAGGAATATCATGTAGATGGTAAAAGGCTAACCAAAATTTGTCTAATCATCGCCACCAATAATGTGATGACGTTATTTCAAAACATACATAGAAAATGGGTTTTAAACTGTATAAAATAACATAGTCCTACACATGATGTAGTTTATGACTCCGTGTTGAGTTTCTACCCAAAACGTCCAGATTTTTAGAAAAAAAAACCGAATCGTTTGAAATCTTGAAGATGTTTTAAATTTATCATAAGCATGCTAAATTTTTGATCAAAATGTATTTGCTCATCCCCCCTAAAAAATTGATGACATCATCTCAAAATATTGCTGAATATACCCTATCTTAAATGATGACAATACTTGAGATTTATTTTTAATATATAATTAATATTTATTTAATTTGCTTATACAGAGTGTCCCAGATAATGGCTAAAAATAAATATCCACTCAGATTTAGGAATTTACCTCGTTACTATGGAAATATTATATTTTGCCTAATTTTTTAAATATGAAACATGAAACATGGCCAAAATGGTAAGGCCAGAAGACATAAGATACGCCCCGCCCACCCACCCCACCTCAATTGTGATGATTTTTTTTATTCGTCGTGAGCCAGGGGGCGGAGATTAATTGCAAAATCAGTATTTCCCTAAAAAAATTTACCATTTTAAATTTGTTTTAGTTTCTTGTTATGAAAAGAAAATTACGTACACTAAAAAAAAACGCAAAATATAAGCCCGGCCTGTGCATAAAAAATCATCACAGTTGAGACAGGGCGGGTGGGCGGGGCTCGTATTTTGTCCTGTTTTCATTACTGTATGTAGTTTTTTTTCACAACCAAAGACTAAAACCTTATCAAATTGGTATTTTTTTAAGCAAATATGGATTTTGCAATTGCGCTTCGCTCCTCCGTCTGACAAGGGATGAAAAATTAATCGGAATTGCGACGAGGGCGGGTGGGCGGGGTTTATATTTTGCCTTTTTTAACATATATTTCTGTACAAAAATTCACCATTTTGACCATATTTTAAGAATACGAATATTAAGAAAGAAACAAAAGTCAAAAGATCAGTTCCGCCCACCTCAATTGGGATGATTTTTCTTATTCGTCGTGAGTCAGGGGGCGGAGTTTAATTGCAAAATCAATATTCCCCTACAGTTCAGTCTTATCTTAGCAAGTGCTAGCCCCGCCCACCCGCCCTCTATTCTCTCAGAGAATATGGAATTTGCCAAAATCAGTCTTATCTTAACAAATACTATCCCCGCCCACCCTCCCTCTATTTTCTCAGAGGGTATGGGGTTTGCGAAAAGCAGTCCTATCTGAGCAAGTGCTAGCCCGGCCCACCCGCTCCTATTTTCTCAGCGCATATGTCATTTGTCAAAATAAGACTTATCTTAGCAAATACTAACAAGTACTACCCTCTGAGAAAATAAAGGGTGGGTGGTTCCAGTACTCGCTAACATAAGTCTTATTTACGGCAAAAAATCTAGGTGGGTTCATAAACACAAGTAAAAGAGCGTGTTATTTTATAAAATTTAAATCGCGTTTATAGAAAAAAAAAACGGTCGAAAGCAGAACTTCCCTCGCCTCTGAAGTACTATGAAACATATCTAGTTTTTTCGATAAAATATAAAATCTGATTTTGCGAATATCATTTTTGCATTTGCAAGATTTCAGAACCTTCGTTTTGTAGTTTCGAAGTTAAATTGCAAAATGTTGTACAATTTTGATTTATTTTTTCCAAAAACCTCGACTTCAAGAAAACAGGAAAGTAGGCATTCGTTGGGTGGAGCTTATTATTGATATTGGTTATTTATTATACAAGTCAATATAAAAAAAAATAAATACAACAAAACATAAAATAAAATTCGTACATAGAACACTTACAGACAAATAAAACTATCAAATTTGTCGTTAAGAAACTTATCTATATCATAATAGGCTTTTATTATGAGCATTTGTTTAATATCTCCAGAGTACCTATTGTGAGGTAGTGGTGTTATCGTGTATGGTAGTTTGTTAAAAAAATATATTTATTACAATACTTCCTTAGCTTACGCTCGGAAGTAAAAATAAGAACGGATTGATAAACCACAACTATATCAACATATTATTTTGTAAAATTTATGAGAATTTACCTAGCAAAATTTTGAGATGACATCATCAAATTGTTGCTAGGAATGATCACACGAATTTTGGTTTGGATTTTGGAATTAAACGGAAGACCTACGTTCTCATATTTCAGGAGCCATAGAACCAGGGGCGGCTTGTTCTATGAAGCAGGTGAGACAATGCCTCACCAATGAATTTGCCCTGTATTATTATTTTATTATTTTTGACCGATATATTTTTCTAATATTTTAAAAATAAGTGTGAAAAATTATTGTTACTCAGAATTGTTTCGAATTTTTTCCTTTCTCCAGTATTTTGATTTGCAATTTTTTGAGGTTCCAGTTTAATTTTTCAATTTTTTAGTTTTTCGTTACTTCACCTTTGAGATTTGCAATTTCTAAATTCCACAATTTCTCTAAATATTTTTGAATTTTTCGGTTCCTCGATTTCTTTATGTTGCAATTTTTTTGAAATTTCAAATTTAAAATTTTGGTTTTTCAATTTTTCGAATTTTCAGATTTTCGATTTAAAATTTTTCGTTTCCGCAATTTTTTGAGTTTTCATTTTAAATTTTTTAATTTTTAGATTTCTCAATTTTTCGATGTTTATTTTTTTTTGTCTTTTCAGCTGTTGGATTTCCAATTTTTTGATTTTTTATTTAGAATGTTTCCATTTTTCGAAGAAACATCGAAAATACAAGAGCAACATGAAAAAAAATCCTGCTTTACAATTTTTCAAAATTTAAAAATGCAAAAACGAGAACTTGATTATTTAAAGGCTAAAATTTGAAAAGACTAAAAATTGAAAAACAGAAAAAGCGCAAATCAAAAAATTGAAGACATAAAAATTTGAATTATTGATTATATTTATGAAATAAAGGAAAATTAAAATATCTGCAAAATGAAAAATCGAAAGAACGAAAAATTGAAAAACCAGAAACTTAAAAAATCTAAAAATCCAAGAAACGAAAAATTGCAGATCGAAAAACTGAAGGAACGAAAATTTGCAAGATCGAAAAATTCTAAAATCTAACAAAAATCGGAAAATCCAGAAATTGCAACTGAAAACTAAAGAATTTTTAAAAACTCAAAAATGGGTGCTTTTAAAAAATGCTCAGTCAACACAATGTAAATAAACGCGGTGAAACCATGGAAAAATTAATTAATTAAGAAAAATTTAAATAGAAAAATTGAAAAATCCAAAAACCAAAATCATGAAAATTAAAGTCTTAATAAATTGGTTCTTTTTGAATTATTTAAATTAAAAATTAGAATCTGGGAAAGTAAAACATTAAAAAATTGAGAAGTTGAAACATTTTAAAGCTAAATTAATAATTGAAATCTCGATTAATTCAAATAAGAAAAAATTACAAATCAAAAATCTGGGAGACCGAAATATTACAAAATCAAAAAATAAAAAATTCCAGAAATTGTAAAATTGAAAAACTAAAGATTGAAAACTAGAAAACCTAAAATCAGAAAATTGTAAAGTCGAAAAATTGAAAAAAAAAAAAACATGGAAAATCTGAAAATCGAAATATTAAAAATCGAGAAGCTAGGAAATACAAAAACTGAATAAACGATCTAGAAACTGACAAAACGAGCTAACTGTAAAAATATCGAAAAATTGTAAATTAAAAAATTGAAAAAGTCAAAAGTTGATAAATCAATATTTTGAAAAACTAAAAATTGAAAACTCGAAAACTGCAAAATAAAAATTATAACACTGAAAACGAGGAAATCGTAACTGTGAAAAATTCGAAAATTAAAAAATCGAAAAACTCAAAAAACCAAAAGTTGAAAACACGAAAAATTGAAAAACAATTTGAAAAATCAAAAATTAAAAAACAATCAACATTAATTCTCTGGCATTGAAAACTTACACATTACACGTTTTTTGGCTTGTTTAATGTTTCTAAACTTCCATATTTTGACAAAAAATTCCTATTAAAAGCAATAAAATTTTTATTCTCAACTGAACTTCACACGTGCGTTAAAAAAATTACAGATTACTAGGAAAAAAATTAGACAGAACTTCCCTCGACGATAACCTTTGAATATCTAGCGTAAAAAATCAACACAGATCCATAAACCACAAGTGTAGGAGTATGTTATTTTGTACAATTTAAATAACATTTCCTGCGCAAAATTTTGAGGTAAGTCTGCGCATGCTCGGGTTCTGGCTCATTTTTGGCGGAAAAATTGAATTGAAGTGAGTCGACCTTGACCGAAATGACCCGAGCTTGGTCGACGCTAGCCGACCTTGGCAAATTTTCCCGCTGTAATTCGACCTACAGGTTTAAAATCTAAAAAAATCGACAATAGTTTTAAAAAACAAAAAAGTAACACCTTAACAACAAGCGATAAATTAAAGCTTGTAGAACTCAACAATGTGCGTAAAAATTTCGACTTTCAGACTGTCCACAAAGAGACAACGTGATAAACAAACAATGAGTCTTGAATTTTGCGATTCATCCCCGATTACAAAAATAGTTTGTTGAGAGACAAAACCGCAGAATAATGTTCTCCCAAAATAAGAGCTGCAACGTATTTACTAGAAAAATAAACCACTCCGAGAAGAAACGCTTCTTTAAGTGTAAATCACAACCGGATTATTTTCACAATTTAACTAATTTCGCAGCATGACGAAACCGTCTAAACAGTTAAAACATAATTTAGCACAATTCAGTAGAAAATTGTAAGCGGAAAAAGTCGAAAACGGAATAGTAATGACTCCAACTAGCGTTGAAAAAGGTAATGAATAATAATTTCGACACTAGCGTAAATAATACATGAGCATTAGAAGTGCCATTGGAAATAATCTAAACTCGAACTTTGCGCTGCACGTAATAAACTATCAACGTGAATTCGCTTCCTTGAAAAATTATCAGTACCTTTAATAGTGTTATGTAAAGATTAATTTTGCAACTTTAAAGCACCTACAAGATAAAACGTCTAACTACATAGCTACATTGATTTTAAAACGCGTCGTGACTGCGTATTTTTCGCTTGAAATGTCATTCGCATTATATTCTAATAAAGCGTGGAGACCCGGATTTTGGCCTGTGGAAATTAAATCATGAAATTATATAATTTACATACAAGATTAATTACATACGTAACAACATGACTAACATGTATTACAGGAATATTGAAAACACATGCTATCAACGCTTTTTTTATATACATAAACAATTCAACTATTAATGATAACATTATACACTCGTTTCGCATAACATAAGAAAAAAACCTGTCGCAAACTGACAAAAAATGTCCTTCCATCACATGTGATAATAAAAAAAAATATAAAACCCACTTACTGACGATGATTAAAATTTAAAATTAACTCCGAAATTTCTACATTTTAGTAATCGTCAGTTTACGCTTTCACAAATCCACAACATCCTGTTATGAAAAATGTTATAAACAAAAGGAGACTTACCATAAGCCCGAAAATAACTGTTGAGATTCCTCCTCCAATAAACCCTTCCCATGTTTTCTTAGGGGATAGTTTAATAAGCGGCGTTTTTCCGAAAAAGAATCCAAAAACGTACGCCATAATATCATTACAAATTATCATAGAAACTGGAACTATAAACCATATAAGTCCTTCAAAAATATTCTTAATAATTAAGTAAGATTGTGTGACAACAATGAGCAAGGCGACGTGGGTCCATGCAAACAAAGAGAATTGTTTCATGTAATATTTCTTGACTAGACTGAGGACAAACCACACAAATCCTCCACAATACAGACAAAAAGATATAAATCGGTGATATGTAACTAACCCTCTAAGAAAATCCTGAAACGTTTTGTGTAACAATTTACAATTAAAACCGTCAAAATACTCACAGTCCTATTTATTGCGACCCCGAAGTAATCGACGAGGTTCTCTCCATAAAAGAAATAGTTCGAGGTGATGAGGAAATACCACGAAAGAGACCTAAACCAAGGAAGACCGTGAATGCGGTACACAGCATATCCTATGTTAATAATTTCTTGGAAACATTTCACTTGTATCACTAGAGCCTACAAACCCAATGTAAAGTTTATGATGTGTGTTGAGTGCAAACATACAGTGATCATTAAAGCAAGGGGTCCCTCGTAGATCACTAGGAGGAAGAATGAGATCATCAAAAGGCTGAAAATGCCCCGCACCACCCAATTGCGCCATTTCTCTGGCAAGTCTTGAAGTAAAAACTCTAGGACCGAAGGGGCTTTGTCCGTACCAGTCGGAACTGTCTTTGATAGGTTCATGGAGGCCCCAAGCTTATCATCTTCACTGTCCACCTAATTAAATTAACAATACCACATTTTAATCGTTCACCGAAATTCGCGAACACTCCATGCCGAATTAGATTAATCATATCAATTACAAGTATCACGCGATTTCATTCAAGCTTAATTGTACTTAAACGTCGCGAAAAAATCAACCAAAAAAACCGAAACACACAAAAAACGAAATTTGAAACTTACAAAAATGTAAACAAGCGGTGTGAATCAGCGAATATACAAATACACCTTTTTTTTCAATACTTACATGGTCACTTTCCGCGGATTCGGGGGCCTTCGCATCGGAATCTTTGCGTTTTCTGAATTCCGACATAATAACTCCGCGTAATTAAATTAAAGTGACTGCGCTTCTAGAGTTTTGTTGGAATACAGGAATTGGCTTCTTATTTAAATATCAAAATCAATATACACAAAACCTTGAATTTAGGTTATCACTGGAGCGCCTTCTGTCATCGAGCGACAAAAGAGGCGCAGCCATGTTGTGGCCGGTAAGAGGGTTTCCTAGTTACCGATTTCGCCATATCGTTTCAAATAAATTGTTTTGTTATCTTTCAAAAATGATAAAGCGAAGTACTTGAGTCATAAAAGTAGTGCGCATTTGAATATAAACGTTTGTTATCGGTTTTTTAGTTTTTGCGTAAATCAACCTCATTGCAGTGCTAATGACGACAGCGGCGGCGGTAATATGAAATGTACTGGGGGCAAACATTTTTGTTTTTTTTTCTAATTTGTTTTATAATAGAAATTTAAAATACAATGGGTTATTTGTCAAAATTTTTAAGCTTTCGCCACTACATTTAAGTGTCAAAACAGTTAAGTTATTTAAAAAATATCATTGGTCATTAGTACAGTCGCAATCACTGAATCTAGGCAGGTTTCTTCTGTCATTTTCAAAATTCTAGATGTAAATGCAGCTTTAAAAAAGTCAAATTAATTTTGGCACATGTCATTTTAAAAATTAACATAATTAGACAGTAATAACAAACAAAAAAATGGTTAGGAGTTTCTAACGGATGTTTAGAGTTTATGACAGTTCGTTGACAACATTTCCCAAGATTCAGTGATTGCAACTGTACCACATTAAGAACACAAAAGTTACTGCAAATGTAGTAATAAAAGCACGTGGGTTGTGTAGATACCATTACCATTGCTGTTGGTTTAGCAAAATGTGTCTTGAAACGTCCAACAGACTCAATTTTTATTATACATCCAGGACCCAGCAGAAGACTCTTACAAGCAACATTTAAAGGTACATACAAAATTTAAACATAATACATATCGGGTATTTTTTAAATTTCTGATCTAGTCGTCTAAAAATTTGTTGAAAAGTTATTCGTAACTTGACACAGAAACGTGAGAACGTGACCACGACATGAGTTGTATGTTTTAAGAGACGACCTACGTAATTTGGTGACATAATGGGTAACGAAAACTAGATCACAAATTTAAAAAATCACACGGTACTTAATCTATAGTTTTTTCCACAATCTTAATTTGGTTCAATATTAAAAAAAATATTAATCTAATGACTAAATAAATTATACAAAGCAGAGAAAGTCCAAGTATAATTAGTAAGTGAAAGGATTTTAATATATTTTGATCCAAACTACTTTGATGGATCATTTCTCATATAAAAACGATTATGTAGGTACATAATTTCGTATATAACAATATTCATATACAGAGAGAGCAATAAAAACACAATCAAAGACAGCCATAAATTTTGAAAGTTTGTCTTTGATTGTTGCATTTTCAAAAGAACTTTCAAATTGACCGTAATCCGACAAGACGAAAATTCTATCAAAGACAAATGTTCAAAAATCGGTAGCTGTGAATCTGAAACGACATAAACAATAATGCCCGAAATCTAAATATAGCAAAAAGTGTAAGTCAGAAAATTTTATTTAAAAAAACAGTAATTTTTTGAGATTCCACTGTCATTGTGTAAGTTGGTATAGTTCAAGTGTGTTAAATTTGTGGTGTTAAATTTTATCAAATCATTTCAATTTAGATAATATAATAATAATAGATGAAGTAGAAAATAGAGAATTCGTTATATCTGTGATATAATTTGTGGCAAACGGAAATTAAGCGAAAAAAAAATGTTGAACGGGAAAAAGCAGAACCTAAAATTGAGCGAACCGGAAATAACTATAAATACGTTCATCTTGTGTTCTCACTTTTTATTATACAATTTTATTCAAAAAATATTGGGCACTTGTCATTTACTAATGTCATAACTTGTAAATTAATAAGTAATATCAAATTCATCGTTTGACAAAATAGATTTTTGAAAAGTGCTAATATTTGTCGAAATGACAGTAAAGCTTGAATCACATATGATTTGTCACAAATGATAGAATGACAGTGCCTAATATTTTTTGAATAAAATAGTACTACGTGATTAGAAATGACTGAGTCTGTTGGCAATACTGGATTTTTAGTTGAAATTGATATCATGTTAAGCTGTCAAGATTGACGGATTGTTAATATTTTTAAATTGCAAAATGTATCCAAAACATGACCTAAATTATCCATGTCACGACTGACATATCTGTCACACAATTACTTTCGTTATGCCAACATAAGTGCAATAAAAATTCACATTTTTGTTTAAAAAGTACTGCCAACAGACTCAAGTCATTTCGTTCACGCGGTATTTTAAAATTTAAGTTTCTTTGATAAAATTTCATAAAGGTATTGCGAAAAAAAAACTCATAACGGACGAGTGTATTAGAGATCTTATAGTGAATAAAAATTGGTCGAGTTGAGTTTTTAATTTACAGAATTTTGTGATGACGTCATCAACATTTTTGCAAGGACACGTATATCAACTTGGATTGGTGCAGTGTAATACTAAACATAACAATATTGTATTCCCAAAATTTTTTTAGAAAATAGAGTAAGCCGTTCCTGATTTAATCAATAAAATAAATTGACACATTCATTAATTTTTTTGGGCCACCTGTATAAGCAAATCTAAAAAATATGAATGCACATTTCGGGTAGAATTAGGAATTTAACTAGTTACAATGGAAATTTGCAATTTAACACCTTTAAATTTCACAAGTTTTTACAAGATTAATAGGGGCAAAATCAGTTTTATCTTAACAAATACTAGGCCCGCCCACCCGCCCCCTATTTTCCCAGAGGATATATCATTTGCCGAAATAATTCTTATCTTAGCAAGTACTAGCCCCGCCCACCCGCCCTTAATGTTGTCAGAGGGTAGGGGCTAGCACTTGCTCAGATAAGACCGATTTTGGCAAATGCCATCCCCTCTAAGAAAATAGAGGGCGGGTGGGCGGGGCTAGTACTTGTTAAGATAAGACTGATTTTGGCCGAATTGAACTTGTAAAAACTTGTTAAATTTAAAAAGTGTTAAATTGCATACGACGAATAAAAAATCATCACAATTGAGGTGGGGTGGGTGCGCGGGGCTTATCTTATGACTTCTGTCTCTTTCTTAATATCCGAAATCTTCTTTCTACAACAAGAAACATAAAACGTGGTCAAAATGGTAAATTTTCGTAGAGAAATATATTTAAAAAATTAGGCAAAATATAATATTTCCATAGTAATGAGTTAAACTCCTAAATCTGATTGGGTATTTATTTTTTAACAACTCATTAATTTTGCTGACACACTCTGTATGAGCAAATTTAAGATAAGATAAAATCTGATATATATTTTGATCAAAAATTTATCATGCTTATGATAACTTTAAAACATCTCCAAGATTTCAAAGGATTTCGATTTTGCAGTTCCTGTTTAAATCAATAAAATAAATTCACGCATTCATTAATTTGTTTGAGTCACCCTGTTTACACAAATTTAAAAAATATGAATACAGTGATGAATCACACACTGATCATATTTTGCACCTTTTAGATAGGATTTATCCAGCAAAATTTTGAGATGACGTCATACATTTTTTGGAAATATATTTGGATTAAAAATTTATTATGCTTGCCATAAATTTAAAATATCTGCAAGATTTCAGAGCATTCAGTTTGGCAGATTTAAAATTAAATTGCAAAACGTTATTTTATAATTTTGATTTTTTTCCAAAAATCTGGACGTTTTAGGTAAAAACTCACCGCGGAGACTGTATATGTAGGACTATGTTATTTTATAAAATTTAAAACCTGTTTTCTATGTACCATTTTGAAGTGACGTCATCACATTATTGGTGGCGATAAATACAAAATTTGACAATGGGCCCAGTACTTTCGGAAATTATCTGTCTAATACAAATCAGGACGGCAGACAAATAGACGGACAGACGGAAACGGGGACCTATTTCTTCGTATTCTAGGGGTCATGAAAGATCGAGAAAACGTAAAAGTAGAGAGTCGGTCGGGAAGTAAAAAACGGTTTGTTGTAACTTTTATTTGTTTTAAAACAGGTTTTTTGTTTTTTTTTATTACTTTTTCCATATGTTTGATGTGACTGATGTTAGTTTTTGGTAGAAAGAGCGGACATTTTGAAGTTTTAGAACAAAATACAAATTAATGAAATACATTTATTTTTTATAAATCTATTTAATGAATAATATTACCAATTTCATGCTGCCAACTGCAGCATAAAATATAAATGTAAAACCGTACCATAAAACATATCAACAGAAGTATTTGTTGAAGTTGTTGAAGTGTTCCTTGTCATCCAGCTGTTGTAACTTACAATAGTTAATGTACTGCCAACTTTACACATGCGTGGACAACCATTATATAATAATAATAATGGTTTATTTAGCACAGATACAAAAGGTGTACCTCGGCAACGTCAACATAAAGTTTATGAATTAAAAAAAAATCCTGAATATTATAATAGGCATTTAGGTTTAAGTGCATCTTAACCTTACTCTTAAATAAACCTACGCTTAACATATCACAATTTACTATAAGTTTTCTAATTTTATTGTAACATAAAATTCCCATATAATCTGGATGTTGTTTACCTATGTCTAATCTTGAGAATGGCAATACTTATGTTAACGTTAAACAATAATGATTATATCAGATGAACTTTGTAATTTTTTAGTTTTGAACAAAATTCCAGTTCTATACAAAAAAAAAAAAAATACTTTTCCTGTTCTACTTTTTCGTTGTACAAAATATACGATCTACTTTTTTGGCTAATTTCCGTTTTATACAAATTACCTCCTTTTACGTGGAAACGGTCACATTTAAATTGCTTATTTTTTACTCAAAACTGATGCAAATGACATTAGAGGTCAAGTGTTTAAACAAAATATATGGCCTACTTTCATTTGAACATTGTAATTGAGGCTTTAAATGACAGCAATGCGAAATGTTTTGGATTTTTATGGAAACATGTAATAAACAAAACTTGAATAATTATTGCAATGATCTCAATGGATTGTTATATTTAAAAGTCCACAAAATTGGACTGTTTGCGTGACTTTGTTATCTATACGAGACACCCTGTGTAGGCCCCCTCAGCAACGCCGCCCCTGCCTATCCGATAAACCTTATCACTTCCACATAACTCTTTCCTGCATTGTATTATTTATAAATTGCGTTTAAAAACAATTAGTTTTGTTTTCTTTTCAAACTTTTCTATTTTTAATGATAGGAAAAAAATTGGGTCACTCTCGTCACGCACATCAGATGGCGCTGACCCGATAAATTTTTGATAAAAAATAATTCCGTGACCTCAGGACAACAAACTGCAATGGGACGCCAATAACACAATGATATTTCCCACAAGTGGTGCCATTTCTCTAAAACTGTGCCGTTGAATCATCGTGCAAAGTACCAAAACACAGCGACTGTCATTCCCGTAAGTGCATAGGTTACGTTTCAGCTGGCTGTCAACTTTGACAAATTTGTAGTTGTAGGCGCCTAAACCCTAAACATTTCGTTACAAAAATAATCTGGATTTATAAATAATCCAACGTGAGCAAGTTCCGATGGTTGTCTCTCCTTGATAACGTCCCAAGCGCTAACTCGACCTGACACTTTGACACTTGGAAGCAGTGACATGTCATAAACACAAGACTAATATGAATTCGGAGCTCCAGAAAAAGCAAGATGTTAAGTACGATTCAGCTTCCAACATTTCGAATTCGAATGGAGACATCTGCAGGATTTGCCACTGTGAAGCTGACACGGATAACCCTTTATTGTCACCTTGTTATTGTTCCGGTAGTTTGAAATATGTGCATCAGTCTTGCCTTAGACAGTGGTTAGCTGCTTCTGATACCCGTTCGTGTGAATTGTGCAAGTTTAGCTTTATTTTACAAACCAAAATCAAACCCTTGTCAGAAGTGAGTATTTTTTTTTTGAAGGGGTAGTGTTAAGGGTTGGTTTTCAGTGGAGAACTTTGGAGATGAGCAGCGTGGAACGAAGGCGTCTCCTGTGTGCTATTCTATTTCACTTTGTTGCGGCTGTGTGTGTTATTTGGTCACTGTTTGTGCTTATTGATAGAGCTGCAGAGGAAGTACAGAAAGGCCTAATTGGTTAGATGGTGTACGATCATTTATCAAATAATCAGTTATTTGTTTTAGCTTGGCCTTTTTGGACTAAGTTAGTCGTTGTTGCTGTAGGTTTTACAGGCGGTGCTGTGTTTATGTATATACAATGTCGACAGTACTTACATCTTTTCGCAAGATGGAAAGCACATAACAGGTAATCGTTCTTATAACAATATTTGTAACTTTTGAATGTTTGTTTTAGAATTATATTAGTTCAGAACGCGCCAGAGAAGCCCCTGATGGCCCCCCCTTCCCCCAGTTTCATTTTTACTAGAAGTTCCCATCATCAGCAATATTCTCCCCAAGTTCTAGCTCATGGGAACTTCAACATACCACACGCAAATTCGGATTCAAATAATGATTCACATTTGTGTTACGTGTTTGAGAAAGAAGCGCATGAGAAGCCTAGTTTTTTGAGTAATAGTGGGTCATCTTCTCAGAAGGATGATATCCATGTAGAAGACCTATGTGACACGGTTTCTAGTGATAATTTTATCAATCCATTGGCCAGTTCTATGCCTTCAGGAAGTATAAACCCAAGTACTCGAGAGATTTTAGCTTTAGATATTCACTGCTCTTCTAGAAGTGCAAATGAGTTTTCTCTTAACCACTCAACGAAGACTGATATTATTCGAAATAAGAGTTGTGTGTTTAAATCTTTGCCTAACTTAAACACTAGCAATGAAAACTTAATTGTGTAAATAAAATAAATTATACCTGTACATATTTTTGATACTTTTTTTACGTTTGTTTTGACAGTTATGCATGAATTTGCGAATCAGGTGGTATAAACGTGACGTCATTTTAGAGTTCCGGTTGCGGTCACTACGTCACGGTAAACATAAAACCGCTTTGATAGACGGTATTATCATTTGAATGAATCATTTTTAGTGGTATGTTTTTATGTCGTTTGCAACATGCAATTATGTAGATAAGCATTTTATTGAAAAACACATTAATCTTTCAAGTAAATAACGTATTTTATTTAGACACTTACACAACCATTACAACTAGTAACTAAATTAACGTTGTCTTCGTGCCATCACCGATTAGCGCGTTTTTCCTCTTCGTGCCCTCTCGTGTTTCTTCGGCCTGTTCGCAAAATCGAAAACAAAAACGCGGCAATTTTAATTCTACGGTATAGTGCTCCAACAAAAGTAGTGGTTTCAAAGTCGTAAAACCACTATTTTCATTGATAACCCTTAGCACTTGTCCATCTAAAGCTTAAGGTTCTCCAAATTTTGCTGCAGATGAAGTGTCTCTGCAGCAAAATCAAAATTCAAGCGGTCACATTTACAAATAACGCCATAATGTATAATCACGACTTTGGGCAGTTGTAAACCACTGCTGATCACAGCAGTGTTCAGTGGGGTGAACCTCGTTAAACACTCAACCAGTTGTTTTAATCCTGCGCCTGTTGGTAAATTGGTCCCGTCAGCCAAAGAGTACATGACTTCCCACATGCAGTATGGTCTTGTTGGAGGTAATAGGCGTCTCACTCCTTCAATTTGGAAAATATTTGGAAGGATTCTTTGAAAAGGAAGTACTGCAGCACCATGTTCTATAGCTGCGGCGCAGTTAACGACAAATGGCAAATCAGGATTTGAGTAATTGGGGTATAATTCGTGAAGTTCAAGTAGCGCCTCCATTTACAACTCTGCTTATAGTTAGTACGGCTTCAAGTGCAAAAATGGCTCTCATACCATTTTGTATGTTTTGTCTTCAACAAATGGCAGTATTTGGGTTTAAAATTCGGCTTCAAGTGAAAAATCTTCTTTCATACTCCCTTGTATGTCTTGGTTGTTAGCGGGTTTTCCTTCAGGTATTTTCGTCTATTTTGACCAAACGCCGATAACTATGCTGTTGCTCTTCTTTATGTTTCACTCATTAATTTCGTCGGACACCCACAAACCACCCAGCCACCCACTCTCGAGACGCTCAACCTCAACGCACATGCATAATAATAATTCTTGTGTTGTAACACTACACCTAACTTCCCTCTGGTGTGGGGGAGCCGAATTATCTAGAGATTTTAAATGCGCCAGTTCAGTAAATTCTGACCCGGGTTAGAAATATGGGGATGTAAATAATAATTTTCTTATATAGAATATTTATTTTAATAGTAATAATGATAATAACACAACAAAACAGCATAAAAGACCACAACAGGTCCGCAAAAACCAAAACATTAACACGTGACAATCTTGCACGTCGATAGGCTGACGTTGTTTTGATTGGCTCTTTTTCACCCCACTCTGCTTACAGTTTCTACGTTGGAGACATCTAGTGACCAGGAGGGTCAACTTGAATGACCGCATTTGAAAAATTTGAATTTGAAAAATAAATTAAAAAAATCATTAAACATTGGCAATCTTGTGCAGAGATCTTCAGTTAGGGTGGTAGGTGGTCTAAAGAATTAGTGAATGTCACTCTTTAAGTTGTTACCTAGTTGGTAAGGTGTCAACACGTGGTCAGTTTTTTATTTATAGTTTGTAAATTCACAGTTAATGTTAAGATTTTCCACTGCACTTGGTTCCAGCCAGAGGTTGGGAGTAATTCAATTACAAGTAATTCGTTACTGTAATTCAATTCCTTTTCAAGTAATGAGTAACTGTAACAAATTACTTTTTTGAGTAATTCAGTCACTTTTACAATTACTTTTTGCAATGACTTTAAACCCAAGTATTCAAAAATATTCTTTTGTTTTTCTCTACGAATCGTTTACCTGACCCACTGGGATTATTATACGTGGTTGGTCCCACAAAGAGAAGATTAACCCAGTAGGGAGTTAAAATCTAGAACGAGTTTAGCACAGAATTTGTTAAGAAACCAGGTAAAAAAATATACATAAGCTCTTCATCATTTTAAGGGTGAGCTAAAGCATACTCCAGCATAGGGAAATACATATAAACTTCTGCCCAAGACTACTTATATTTTTTAAATTTTGTTGAAAAAAACTACAACGCGTTAAAATTGTAATGAGGATGAGATTATCTGGTTTTCGCTATTTATGGACCAATTTTAAATTTTCAAAAAGGTACATTAATAGAAATTGTATTAAAAAATCCATTGCGCTTTACAGAAATAAAATATCTTAATAAATAATTGAGTAAACGGGGGCAGAATATTTAAAATTTGTCGTCAAACAAACTTTAGCCATTTTTCTGGTCCACTTAAATCTGTAACAATAATCACTTTGAATTTTTGAAAGTGTAATTCGCCATTGTTTCTTGTCTAGATTTTCTTGTTTATCACTATTTGTTTATCCTTTTTGTCCAATAGAATGAGTGATTAGGAGATAAACCGGGTGGGTGGGCGGGGCCACCTTGATTTTTTGTAAATCTAGTTCGCCATTTGACATAGTAAAATTCAGTCTTCCTCTAATCAAAAAACCAGTGAAATCCAAAAGCGGAGATGGGTGGAGTTAGTTTTAGGTTTTTGTTTAGATTCCACTGTTGTTCAATATAAAATGCGCTTTTCGTTCAATAAAACGAGTGACCAAAAAGAAAAGCGGGTGGGTGGGCGGGGCCACTTTGAATTTTTTAAGCCTAATTCGCCCCTTGATGTAGTAAAATTCAGTCTTCATCTAATCAAAAGAGCCAATAAAATTCAAAAGCGGTGGTGGGTGGGATTAGTTTTACGTTTCTTGTCTAGATTTTCTTGTTTATCACTATTTGTTTATCACTTTTGACCAATAGAATGATTACTAGGAGGAAAACCGGGTGGGTGGGCTTTGAATTTTTCTAAATCTAGTTCACCATTTGACACAGTAAAATTCAGTCTTCATCTAATCAAAAAAATCAGTAAAATCCAAAAGCGGAGGTGGATGGAGTTGGTTTTAGGTTTTTGTTTAGATTCCACTGTTGTTTAATATAAAATGCGCTTTTCGTTCAATAAAACGAGGGACCAAAAAGAACACTAGGTGGCTGGGCGGGGCCATTTTGAATTTTTTAAGCCTAATTCGCCACTTGATGTTGTAAAATTCAGTCTTCATCTAATCAAAAATCCGATGAAATTCAAAAGCGGTGATGGGTGGGATTAATTTTACATTTTTTGTCTAGATTTTCTTGTTTATCACTTTTGACCAATAGAATGAGTGACTAAAAAGAAAAGCGGGTGGGTGGGCGTGGCCACTTTAAATTTTTTAAGCCTAATTCGCCACTTGATGTTGTAAAATTCAGTCTTCATCTAATCTAGCCAATAAGATATTTTGAAATCTCCCGCCAATGCAAATTTTTGTTTAAAAAATCGAACTTTTATTTGTAGCTAGAGTGGAATGATATTAGGCGCAAAAGAATCGGCTCTTCAGTTTTTGGTAAAATATCTAACATGTTGCCCCACAACAGTTCCATCTAGCGCCGCAGTGGAAAGGATGTTTAGTGAAAAAATGTCTACACATATTAAAACAAAAAGGCAAAATATAAGCCCACCCACCCGCCCTATCTCAATTGTGACGATTTTTTTTTCGCCGTGGACCAAGGGGGCGGAACTTAACTGTAAAATACTTATTTCTTTACAAGAAATTAAAAACATATTTTTGAGTATTGTGTTGTTCAAAGAATACTAAGTATATTAAGAACAAAAGGCAAAATATAAACCCCGCCCACCCATCTCATTTGTGATGATTTTTTTTATTCTTAGAAACTTAAAACACGTTTAATGTGGTAAATTTTTATAGGGAAACATGGAGTTTGCAATTAGGCTCCGCCTCTAGGTTTGGCACCGAATGAAAACTTCATTACTACATATTTAGATCAGGGCAGGTATGGGTGGCGCTTATTTGGCTTTAATTTTTTCTTAATATATATACATAGTATTCTTCATATAACACGATATTCAAAAAAATGTCTTACATGGTAATTTCTTGTAGAGAAATAACAAGCATTTTGCAATTAAATTCCGCTCCTTTGGCTCTCGACGATAAAAAAAAACATCACAATTGAGACAGGGCGGGTGGGCGGGGCTTATATTTAGCCTTTTTTCTTAATGTATGTAGTCATCTTTTCAGAACAAGAAACTTAAAACATGTTTAAAATGGTAAATTCTTATAGACAAATATGGATCTTCCAATTAAGCCCCGCTCCTCGATCTGACAACGAATGAAAAATTCATCACAATTGAGATAGGGCGGGTGGGCGGGGCTACATTTTGTCTTTTTTTTTCTTAGTATGTATAGACTTATTTCGACAACAAGAAACTTACACATGAGAATTGAGATCGGGGCGGGTATGAGTGGCTTTGTCTTTTTTTTAATTTGCAGTTAAGCTCCACCCCTTGGCTCACGACGAATAAAAAAAATCATCACAATTAAGATAGAGCGGGGCTCCATTTTGCTTTTTTATTTTAATATGTGTAGACTTATTTCGAGAACAAGAAACTTATAACATGTCTAAAATGGTAAATTTTTGTAGTAATCAACTTAAATCCTTCTACAGCCCCTTTAAATACGGCAAAAGTTGAATATCAAACTTACTATCAACGGCAACTTGGCAAATGAGTTTATGACAATTTTCAGCTCTAAAAGCAACGTCAACGGGAACAGCAACTGCAACGGGAACTTCAACGTCAACAGCAAGTTTATAAATCTCACTTAATGAATAATTGTAATGTATTACTTTTTGAAAGTAATTGTTCCAATCACTGGTTCCAGCACAGTTTAACGGTCATGAAATTGTTCATACAAACTATGTGTTAGGAAATTCACTTATTCAGGTATCACGCTTTTGTTTATCGAGTTATAGCTAAGGTCTCTGCACATTTGTACTTCAGTATTACATTAGAGATTATAGCACACTTCGTAATTTTTCACTCGAGATTGCTCATTTCTGACATTTAAACTAATCTGAGCGTTGGTCCATATTGGGAAAAAAGAGTTTGAAAAATTGCGGTTAATTTCATACACTCATGGACTCGAAAAACGGGAGGGGTTTAATATTTTTTTACAGATTTAATATTTTGTTTCATGTCTCATTGTTTTCTTGTAGGTTTAATAACTTTTGTACTACTTAAATTGAAACATTTATCCTAGAAGCACCTTAAATTTGTCGCCACACATTTGTAATAATTGTGTATTTGCATCCAGATACTTTAATTCAGTTCTATTTTTCTAAGTATTTTTAAAAAATTTGCTGATTTGATTCGGAAGATTTGATTTGATTTTTAAAGCTAAGCAGTTTTTTTTTTGTAGATGAGAACTAAGGTGTCTTCAGTCTTCAACCAATCAGTCACAGCTTTTTTTTCTTTTTTTTTCTGTCAGATTGGAGGAATAAACGATTTTTGTCCTCCATATTTTGTGTTTGATTTAGGGGCACTTTTCCAACTTTGAGGTTCTCCATTTTGCCACCGAACGGTGGAAAGTGGGAAAGAAAGTTGATAGAATTTATCTAAATACCTGTCATAAGCTAAATCACTATTGTGTTGTATTACTATTTTTAAATAGAAATAATTAAAATAAGATGGAAACGCAAAGATACCAATGAAATTAAATTAACAAGAAGGCAACCAGCAATACACGCAAACGATCGATCTCCCAGAGAAAGTATGACTATACGAGGAAAAATAAGCGGTAAGGAGTACGTTGAAAATTCAAATATTAGTTATATTCTTATAAAATAACTAACGACCTCTTACAGCAATCCAAAAATTCTGAATTTTTTCGTCCAGGAACCACCAACATAAAGAACCACATTGAGGGCCCCAAATAATTAATTATCCACAGATTCGACGGAAAAAGTATTTGCTACTCCATTATTTAGCTGGTGTTGGATTTTAGGTAAAATGTATGTGTAAAACAACTGAAATAATTTTTTCACAGTACATAATATATAAATATTCTCGCCGTCATAAATTTATATTTGAATATTTGTTACATTAAGTTGTTTCAAGTCTACTTACGATTTATTTTTATAATTTTGTTTATGTACATATTTAATTGTAAGATTCTAAACATAATTACATACACACCTACATAAATTTATCTGTACGTTTTAATAAAATGGTAAAAAATAAGAATACAAATGTTGTAAGATTTTTAAGGCATATTTTTTGTGTGTACTTATCTTTTGAAATTTATTTTAAGAAAATATGGTCCACAAGTAGTGTTTCACTTCGCAATAGATTCAAACAAAAACGTGGATTGCGCTGTGATTGGCCAAACGAAGTGCTTATTGACTTTACTTCAAGATCTGTCAGACCTGTGAGTTAGGTTAAGTTTTATTTAAGTGTCAACACTTTCAACAAATGTGATGTAAACCTAGTTGATACGAGGCTGATTTTTGCACTTTAAAAAAAGGTTGAAAATAAAGTAAAATTTGTTAATTTTTTGCCAACAGTGCAGATTACGATGAAACTTTTCATACTCATTATTTTGAAGGTAAAATCGTGTCATTTAGTAGGAAATTAGCTACAAACTCCAGATCTTGTGGTATATTATCTTTATAACCTTCAGTCAATTCTTTTTGAAAGAGAAATGACGCGTGAGTTGCAAAATTTTTGAAAAAGAGATGAAAAGTGTCGAAACGAAAAAGTTGGGAGCCACCTACATGTAGTAAAACTATATATATTTTATAATTTTGAGTCAAAAATTCTGAGTAACGTTTCAGCGTAATCTCTACAATTACTTACCATTTTTTTTTTATTTTTTAAAACACGTTTAAAATTTAAGATTTTTTGAAAAGAATAATCTTCCAAGAAACGATTTATTTTGTTGAATTAGTGTGCGGGTACCATATTTTGAAGAGCTCTGGCGACGTTTATTTTGTAAATTTAGCATCCCTGGAAACGTTAAAGACATCGTTTTTGATTTTTGATAGTTTAGGAATCAGGACACAAAATCATGTGAAACAAATGCGAAAAAGGGTGCAAAATGAATACTAGTAAAATGTACTTTTTCGTAGATGTATACAGTCGTGAAGGTGGGATTGGGTGACTCAAAATAAAATACGCATATTACAAACTACCTATATTACGTATTTAGTTTGATAATTCTACTTATTTGGTTTAAAATGTACTGTTCTGTAAATCCCTGAGCTTATAACATAATCAGTCTATTGCAAATTAATTGAAATACTGTAAAACATGTTTATTGTACAAAAAGTTGTGGCTGATAACATAATTAACAGTATACAGGTGGTTGTACTTGAATTAACGTTTTGTACTCAACCTCGATTGGTTTATTATGAGTCTGCATAGAGTTTTGAAATGCAAATTGACATTTCAGGTACAGAGAAATGGAAGGAGTCTTAACTTACTCTTATTTAATGTACAGTGGCACAATGTAGGAACCTTAAATAAATAGTAGTAAAAATAATATCTTTACAAATGAGGTAGAATTTTGTGATTCCTGTGACTTTGGTAGTACAGGCGAAACTTAATAACTAATACTAAATTAAAAACATAAATAACGGTCATATGTTACACAAAAAGAACATTACGACGATAAGTAGAAAAGAAGAGGTGTAGTTCTTATTTTACGTAGATGCCATTTAAGTACTCTCGTTGTAGTTCGACGCCATATAAAAAACAAAATTCTCGATAGCTGCACTCTACGAAAAATATCTCCAGAGATTATCAAGAGAATAAAATTAATAAAGGAAAACTTCAATAAAACACTTCGAAAAAGAATCAATGGTGTCATAATTTAAATAAAATAATTTAAAAACATTCTCAAAATAAAAACAACGCAAAACAAGTAGTTTTTATAAATACAATAAATACTTACAAATTTTGAATTTGCGTGTGGTCAAACGATGGTGTCGTACTACATCCCTCGATTAAAAAGTAACTTAAATCTATATGGCATATGAAAAAAATATGTAAGTACCCAACTAACAGCAGTTTCATGCAATTTATACCGAACCTGTTCAATTTCACACGTAATTAGGTTTGAAAATTTTCTTAGGCCAGAATGAAGCCTACACGACTAGCCTAATTTTCAAGCAACGTAATACTGTGTTACTGAACGATATGTGAATTTGAAATGGAATTTGTGGGGCTCCCAATTAGTTCCCTTTTCACCTAATTAATCACCGAACGGTCCAAGCTAACCCTACAAACGTAAAAATTATATTTTCAAAATAGTAAAATATAATTTCTGAATAGAAACTTTCTAAATAGGTATCAAAAATGTCCACTGGAATTGTTGCCCCGTTTTTAAAGGATCGTGGAATGAAATTTCATCAAAAAGACCATGGGAAATTTGGTGGATGCGCAGGGCCATCCCGGATCTTTCTAATTAAATTTAAATCCTTTTCACAGCACGATATGTAAATTCGATAGTTTCAGTGTAACTAGTAAACTCCTGATTATTGCATTGCACTGGCTTAAATATTCACACAATTTGTAAAATATTTGCACCATTTCACAAATTCTGTACCGATTCTGTAATGACTATCTCCTGAATTTGATATCGTCGTATTTGGGCTTCGGCGTCTCAACTGAGCAGCCTCCTCGAGAGTGCTCGGTTGAGAGTCACGTTTTCAACAGTAACTTCCAAGTCCTAGTGAAATCAGTCTTCTCGTTTGGTAGGAAGGAAATTACTGATGAAAGGTCAATGGCAGATCACAGTACACAAGAAATTCTTTATTGGTTCTACATTCTCTGCATATGAGTCTTTATCAACAACTAAAATTAGCTAGGTTTGTGTCTCGCGGGTTCTTGTGTGCTGGCATCTATGGAAACGTACTACTCTAATGAACACAAGTCGGGCGTTTCCTCTAATTCGATGATTATTCAGGTTTGGCAACGTCTTCCGAGGTGGCAGCAGCTGACGCCGCTCCGGTTCCGTTTCCGTTATGATCGGATTTTTTCTGCTCGCCGGATTTCTGTGGACGTTCTACTCGGGTGGGACAGTCTGCTATGAGGTGGTCTTCGCTTTTGCAGTTGTGGCACCTTTTCGGCTGGGGCCCCATTGTACACTTGGCAGCGATGTGGTTCGCGAACTCGCCGCAATTATAACATCTGCGCAAACAGGCGAGCGTTTATCGATATGCTTACGCAAAATTTAGGCATGCAGTGTGTTTGTCCAAAGGCCGTGGACACAGAAAAAAACAACTAACTACACACTGGATAAATGATGAACAAAATTTGGCCAACTTTTTTTTAAGTATACGTTGTTTAGTTTGCAATAGATACATAGTACTATTTCAATTTAGTTATTAAAATTTGTAAGCCAGTGTTTCCTGAAAATAATGTTAAAACAACAGTTCAAATTTCGAAAAATTAGCATGCAAAATGTCAAATTTTAAGACATCACAAGTATAGCGTTGTATTTTTTAAATCTTGGAATTAGGATCGGATTTTAAGATAAAAAAAATCTGAACTTTTGTTAATTCAGTTAATGTCTACCCAAAAATCTTTATGTCTAATCCTTTTCCTAAATAAATTAGACAAAAATAACGTAACGTCATAAGATTTCGGTGGAAAGTTATTCTAGGATTGACTAGAAAATTTTATTTTCTTTGATTCCTCTCGAATAATAACATTTGCAATTATTTTTTTAAACTAAATTAAAAACAAAGAAGCTAAATGAAAAAGAAAACATATGGAAGTAAATAATGTATTAATTTTTTTGTAGTTTACAGTGTAAGAAAAATTTTATATTCAGAGATGATGATAGGAATGAAAATTTGAGAAATCGGATCATTCAGGGTAATAATTTTTGAAAAATTCAGCAGTCATTGAGGAGAAAGTTGAATGCATGTATTCCAAGGCTGGTGGTAGTCATTCCAGCAGTTTTTAAACCGTCTTAATACATATTTTTTTTTCGAAAAGCTTTTATCGCCCTATATCTTCGAAACAAACATCTTTCCGAAATTGATTCAAAGACAAATAATATTAAAATAATCTAAGAAATAGCCCCATATTTAGTGAGCACCCCGTATACATACATTATCATACCACAGTTTAAAAGCGGTTATGAAAACAGTGTGTTTCGTTATACTAGAGATTTGCTATCAACTTTCAGACATCTTTTACATCATTTAAAATTATGACCATTAGAATTATTGTTCAGTAAAAGAATTACATGGACACCATATTCCTCCTGTTTGACCGAACTTATTCCTTTTGAATTTTACTTTAGCTCAAAATTAAAAATGAGTTTAAAATTTAATGTGATTAACAAAAATTCACGTTTTCTTGGGTTTAGAGATGAATAACGTCCAACACGTATCTAAGAGATATTCCATTAATATACCGGGTGTTTCAGTTTTCCTGTTTCACTATAACGTTTCAGTGATTTAAAAAGATAAAAGCTTGAATTTCTGAACGATTTAAAAGCGTTAAATGCAGATTTTTTTATTTTTTCAATAGCGTGTGTACTTGATATGTAACTCATTTGGTTTAACATAAAAACAGTACAAAATCAGCATAGTTTTCATGTTAGATGTATTGATTTTGGTTTTTCGGAAATTACTTTTTTAAAAATTGAGTGCGTTATGTTTTTAGTAAGATTAAATAGAATACTTTTATTTTTTCAGTGATATGAATTTTGACAAAATGCTGTACTTGCTTGCACCGTTGTAATATTTCAGTTACGTGGAAAAATAAAATTTTGAAGCTTGGCTTCGTCAGTTGACGCAATAAAGTACAAAATTACATTGATACCATTATTTTTACATGTTCTTAAATGTTTCAAACGTTATATTTTTTTCTTTTCAATGATATTAACATTTCACAAGGGTTTTAAATCGCTGATACATATACAGGGTGTTATTGAAAGGTGCGTACAACAAAATTGACAGTTCTTCGCGAAGTCTAAGAAGTCTGAAAAACTTATTTTGTGTTATCAAAATTGTAAGAGGAAAATTAACCCTTATCCAATCTTTTTAGACGCTACTGAGAGATAAATTAGGTAAAATTAATTTATTTTTAGTAAATCCTAGCAACTGTAACAATAAAACTTTTGTCAAGACTATTAAATGGTGCTATAGAAATGAGATATGATCTTTTTATCAGAGGCGTACAACGAATTTGGACAAAAATTTAATAATTTTTATCTCTAAGTGGGGGACACTTTTACCTGAACTTTTTTTAACTTTTAGCACCCATACTTCGAGACCAATTGCCGATTTTATTTTGTACGTACCTTTGAATAACACCCTGTATACAACATTTAAAGCTAAGCACGTAGTCCTCTATGTCTCATTATCATCAATTTTTAGAAATAGAAAAAAAGTTAAAGGAGCATACAAAAACCCAATTTTTTTTATTTTAAGTATCCTCTGTATCTTTACATATTCTATTCCCTTTATAACCATTGCTTATTTTTAATTTTCCAATGCGGCGTTGCCATGTTTTCGCGATTTCCTCAAAATTTGTTTTCAGTATAAACGTTCACAAAGGAAATCAAAATAATGTAATTTTTAAAGTCGCTGTTGCAAAATAGAGTGTTTATAAAAAATTCTAACGTTACAATTTTCAAATTCGATATTTCATTTTTTTCAAATAGAACACTCTGTATTTTATTACTGCATATTCTGTTGAGTAAAAAATTGCAAAAATTGTCGACTTTAAACATTGAAAATACTTACTAAAAAGAAAAAGAACAAAAAAAAACAGTAATAGATGGTGTTTTATTTGAAAAAACTGAAATATTGGTATTTGAAGCTTCTTTTTAATAAACATCCGGTACATTAAGACTCAATTTTATTTATACCACAACTAAAGGGCGTACCGTATTTATCTATCCACAAAATATTGTAACACAGATTTTAAAAATAACCCTATTGCGATTTTTCGTGAACCATTCCATTGCTAATAAAAGTCAAGAAAATTGGAATAACCTGTTCAAAGTAATTTTAGTGTAGGTTCCTACAACTTTTTTTCTGTTGTTAATAATTAAAGAAATATTGAGCAGCACACACTTAGTGACTGACCTGTAGGTACTGTCAACGATATAGTCTTTTATAGATTTATTTGTGTTACTTTTCGATTTGGATAACTAAAAATCATATTTTCATAAAAGTAGATTTTTTATTCTTTAAGACGATAACCATAGCAACGCTTATACAGGGTGATTCAAAAATGACGCACTAACTTTATGACGCCTTGGTAAGGGCTGTTTATTCAGCAAGAAAACATAATTTAAAAAACTTTCATTAGGTATTCAAAATAATTTTGGATTTGTCCATGGTTTTCTTGATTTGATAATCCCACAAAAAAACTCAAAAATTGTTCAGAATTAATTTGCAACAATGGCTAATTTTTAACGTCAAATTGACGTAAGGAATTTTTTATCATTTTTCTCGAAATTAGGATTGTGAACTTTATAATGTACCATTGGATTATTGCACATTTTTAAATCACCCTGTATTTTTAATTGTATTGTGTGTAAATAGAATTTTATTAATTTTTTTATTGAAATAAATAAATTCATAATTTTCTGTTTTTCTTTTCTTCGGAAATTACAACGACTTCTTCTTTTCAAATGGTATAAATGCGTTAAAAACGGTATTTTTTATTTTTTTAATAGCGTAGTATGTGTACCTATTTGATATATAACTCATTTGGTTTAACATAACATTAGTACATCCATTATAGTTTTCATATTAGGTGTATCGATTTCGGTTTTTCGAAATTTACTTTTTCAAAAATTAGGTTTTTTAGGTAAATTAAATAGAGTATGTACTTTTATTTTTTCAGTGATATTAATTTTGACAATATGCGATACTTGCTTGCTCTATTGTTACATCCCAATTATTTGGAAAAATAAAATTTTGAAACTTGGCATCGTCAATTGACTCAATAAAATACAGAATTACATTGATACCAAAATTTCCAAAAATGAAATATCTGTTTTACATGTTATTAAGTGTTTCAACAGTATATTTTTTGATATAACGTCTCATAAGGGTGTTAAATCACTAATAAATATACAACATTTAAAAATCATCCACTATTCCCTTTATAATAAAAAAGTTGATGTCATTTGCAGAAAACCCACAACATACATATAGAAAATGAGTCACTAAGCGCAAGGTTGTCGATATCTCATTAATTTTCCTTCAGTAGCATAAAAAACACAACTTTTTTTTAAGCAGAACACCTTTATATTTTTACATGTTCTCTAAACCTGTTCCCTTTATAACTATTTATTTTTTAATTTCCGATGCGACGTTGCCATGTTATCCCAATTTCTTTAAATTTAAACATTAAAATTTTCAAATGTCGATATTTCAGTTTTATTTGAAAAAACTAAAACATTGACATTTGAAGCTTGTAATAGTTTATTTTTTTAATAAACACCCGGTACATTGAGACTCAGTTTTATTTATACCACGACTAAAAGGCGTAAAATGTTATAACACCGATTTTAAAAACAATTATTTTGTGAACAGTTCCATTGCTAAAAAAACTGAAGAAAATTGGAAGAACGGGGCATCAGAATTTCGAAAAAAAGACTATGGTTATACAGGATGTTTTATATATAAAAAAACAATTTTGTATTTGTCCACGGTTTTCTTGATTTGATAATGTCACAAAAAACTTAAAAATTGTTCAGAATTAATTTGCAACAGTGGCTAATTTTTCACGTCAAATTGACGTAAGGATTTTTTTATGATTTTTCTCGAAATAAGGCTTTTGAACTTAATAATGTACCGTTGAATTAGTGCGCCATTTTTAAATCACCCTGTATTTTTAATTGTATTGTGGCTAAATGAGATTTTATTATTTTTTTTACTGAAATAAATAAATTCATAACTTTCTCTATTATAAATGTTATAGAAAAATAGTAATCAAACATTACCAGAAGGAACAAAAATATGAACTAAACGTCGCATTATTAATTAATGGGATAATTGAAGCGTTATTTTGTTGTAAAGTATAGCAAGATAACCTCATTTTAAGATCACATAACTCCACCAAAATACGAAAAGGAATTTTTTTAAATATTTATTTTTCTCCTACTTAATGATAATCATTTCGGACATCCTGTATATTTCAAACTTGTCTTTTTAAATAATTAAAATATTAACGTAAAACTGGGAAACGGAGTACCCGGTAAATAAAAGGTGGCAGAAGTTATTTCAAAACATTAATTATTATTATTATTATTTTTCAGTATTGATTAAAATGCTCTCTCAAACTTATTCTTTCTGAAAAGATATAACTAATTGTCTGTCCATATTTTTGTAGATTTGTATTTTTTATATGGACTAATAAATTTAACATTTAACATAGATACAACACAATATAAATATATTTTTGCACTTTTAATAATCTTCACTTTTTTCAAAAGTTAGCAAATAATCTGGATCATAGAAAAATTATTAAATCTGGTTATAATCTCGTAATTAAAACATCAATGGTCATACTTCACAAAAATTATAAATATGGGTATAATTTGGCCACCACTGGTGATTTATTTTGTGAAGAAATATTTTGATTATATTTTTCACTCGGAAAAACATTAATTCGTTTTCAGAAATTAGTTGCACTGGTTCACTATTCATAGTATGCGGTATAATAAAAATATAACACACTGAATGAAATAATGTTATTCGATGAGATTTATTTCTTACTTCTAAAATATATATAATGAAAAAGCCGATTTCAGATTTTATATCAAAAAATAAGATTTGTTTAACTTAAAAAATCTTTATTTTTTAAAACTTTATACTTAATTACAAAAAATAGTGAAACTATACTGTCTTTTGCAATAATTTAAAAGTAGTTTAATTTTGCGCTCACAGGAAAAATCTTCATTTCCATTATACAGTGGGTTTCACTAAAATTTTACACTGAATTTGCATTTCAGTTGCATCTTTATAATTTTGCAAAACAAATACTTTAATTAGTTCTTCAAATACAATGTTTTGTCATAATTCTCAAATGAAATACCAGATATTATACATATAACTATCTAGAATTTATTGCCAAGTTAGCTTTGTTTTAATTTATGTACTTAGTAGTTTTTACGTCAAATGTCAATAGCGGATGTTTTACTTTGCACAGATACGTCTAACTTTCCGTTTAAATAATAATTTTTGGATGTATAAGAAGTCCATTTTTAATTTTGGAAAATTAATGCTAGATTTACCAGCTTAATCACCCAATGTAAATAAGTTATAACCTCCCTTAATATCATATTTTTTAATTATATATTTTTTCTCTGTAGTAAGGTGTAAAAATACCTGTTGGGAATAAAATATTAAGTACTATTAGTTGATCTACAACCTCAATTAAAACCATTATTTCACTTTATTTTGTATAGGTATGTAGAAAGTAGTATTTGAACTTCATCATTAAAAATAAACCTTTTTACTGAGGTTTCAGAGGTTTTGTAAGCGTGTTCAAAAATATACATCACCTTAAACATAACGAAAAAAACAACCACGAGTTCTCGGGCTTAGGACTTCCACGATCTTAAACAACGCAATCTCCAAAAAAAGTTGGCCAAATTTCCAAACTTGTGAAATTTTGTGCTTAATTCCCTGGACTTGCAACCGATTCTACATCCCGTCCACGGCCAATTGCAGAACTCCTGTCTATTTTCCACCTCTTTCCACATCGGCGTCTGGATATTTTAGGAAGCGCCTTCCTTTTAATAGAGCCGGCCGACGTGGAACACTTTAAAATAAACACCTGTATGCGTTTTTACCTAATTTTTCTAAATCGCTTTTTGGAAGCGGGTCTGCGATGCGATCCTCTGCAGTCCGTGCTCTGCGGGCCGCTCACTTTGGTGGCTTCCAGGCCTTTGTCGGACACTTGACACTCGAATTCCACTTCTTCATCGTCTCCCAAAGAGCGGAAACCGCTCATTTGAATAACGCTCTGGAAAAACCAACTCTTAGAATGCTATTTTCCGCACAAGAGAATGTCAATCATTTCTTAAATCGATCGATGGAATGCAGATACAATTCAAAAAAAGCTAATAACTCCTTACAACAATAACTGTTAACGTGAGACAATGACCTACTCCGGGTATCGATATGAGCGGTGGTGGGCAAAGGCAATAATTTGTATTCTGTGAGAAGAATGTTCTAATCCGGGCTTTGCTGACACGCGCTGCTTTATTTCGAAAAACGCGGGGATTGATTCAAAATGCTCGATAGGTGAAAAATAAACAACACTAATGTTGTTGATTCGAAGTTTTTTTTGGGTTTTGGGCGAAAACTGATAATGTGTGAGCTCACTAAGTTTATAACAATAAATCTGGGACCTAGGCTGCGGGGTGCAGATTTTATATTACTGTTTTATGAGTGATAAAAAAGAAAGCTTTTGTTCTCATAGGGTCTACGCTCTGTGGACGCTCTGTGGACTAATAAATTTGGTAAAAAATCGATAATCACATTTGAACTCGGCTTGAAAAATTAAACACTGACAATTGAGCTGGAAATTTGTTCTCACGCAAAACTTGGATACATTTTCTCAGAGGCTTGAATTTTGAACCGAATGATTAGTGTATCAAAATTAACAAAAACGTTTAAAAATCACTTAAAAGGAAAAATTCTTGTCTTTAAATATGGATTACGCTCTGCTTGACTCTTGAGATTTGTAACATTGTAAGTGAGGTTCATATTGAAATAATAATAATAATAGATTTAACTTGATAGAACAATCAATGAATTAAGTAAAATAGATGTTTTCTATTCATGTACATTATATGATAAGTGATACTGATTTATTAAGAGGAAAATTGACGATTCTAAAATTCTATTAATCTTATGATATAAATTATTAAATTACAACACAATTTATTAGTAGACATTTATTACATCGTGTAAATACCAAAAAATTTGAAAGCCGCATTCAAGAACAAGAAATACGGTGCGATTTTTTAAATTTCTGCTCTAGTTGCTTATGACACTCACGGCATCAGTTTCATTTTTACTGCTGACGTAAGCGTCAAGGGTAACTAGAGCAGAAATTTTAAAACTCACCCGATAGAAGAACATGACAATGAAATTATTTTTTTCACAGCAAATTTAAAAAATGTAAGATTCTATTGAATTTCAAAAATGTTCGTTTTTAATGAATATGAACAAAAAAAAGGCATACACTTCTATGACCAATTAGGACCAATAAATTATAAATAAAGGTATCTCAGGTTTCTTGGTTTTACAAACCAACAGCTATAATTAACAATGTTTTTGGTGATTTTTTAAATTTCTGTTCTAGTTACTCATGACACTTACGTCATCAGTTTCACATGTACTGCTGACATAAGCGTCATGACTAACTAGGGCAGAAATTTAAAAAATCACCTGTTGTTGTGGTATTAATTAAATATATATAGTCTATTATACAGAGTGTTTATAAAAAATCTAAAATTATTTTTGTTCTCTTTCTTTCGATATGTTAGTGTGTCTCTTAAAAAAGGGAAAAAGTGCAGAAACTATTAACTTTAGATACAGAAAATACTTAACAAAATAAAAGAGTATAAAAAACAGAGTTAGATGCAAAAATAAAATATACATAGGGTGTCTTATTTGAAGAAACTTAGTTTTGTTTGTCTCTCCACAAAATATTGTAACACATATTATAAAAAAGCCTTTTCCATTTTTTTTGCAAAACTTTGCATTGATAAAAATTTCATCATCAGAATTTCAAAAACACACTAAGATTTCAACACAAGTTGTGTTGTACCTCAAAACAGAACACTCTGTATAATTCAGAATAATTTTAGTTAATATTACTTAAAGAACAACTTTGTTTTTTATTTTTAATAAATGAATTAGAGATATGTTTAAAAAAAAATAGAGTTGTAATTTTTGTATTTTTAATAAGTACATAACTTTATACAACGTATTTTTAAATTATGCACAAAGTAATTGTAGTTTTAGTTTTAGAGATAAAACAGTTTAATACGTTTTATTTCGGAACTAAATCAGAGAAAAAACAAATTTACTAAGGTTTTTTGCGATTTTTTAAAAATTATTTTTCAATTTATATTAAGAATTCGTGTTTACATTTGTTATCAACGGTTAAAAAAAATTAAAAAATGTCTTCACATTCTTGGTTCGACTCAATAATGCATAATAGGTGTCCAACTGGAAGTTATCAAGTTGGCGTTGTTTTTTTGATAGAAGAAAACGCAGAGAAAAACGCATGTGTTTTATTAATCCACATTGTGCTAAAAGTCAGGTTAAGTTCATCATTTCTCGTTATTAACTGTCATTCATTCAAATTTTGGGTTTATTGTGGACATACTTCACAATGTTTACGAAATATCAAGCCAACTTGATAACTTTTTCAGTTGAATACCCAATATAATATCCATAAGCTGGAATTAAAAAAAGATAACGTTGACGTTAAGTTAAAAGAACCAAGGTTTTCAAAATGAAAATTGGTCAAGATTTTCCAGAAGTTTAATGGAAATTCTGCTCCAGTTTGACTCCTATTTGTTTCAATTTTCCAATTTAATTTAAATGTGTGACTGAATTTAATCTGTTTTGAATTAAAATTTGCTGCAGTTCAAAAAACAGTTATTATTAGTATCGGAAGGTTTTTAAAATTTCTGTTCTAGTTGGCCATGACGTCAAGGCTTAGGAGTGTTTTCGAAGATTTTTTTTTAAGTATGGTACATTTTCTTGAAACATTTTGATTCACAATTTGCTTACAAAAAAATTCTTTAAATAAGCGTCAAAGTCATCAAGTTGGCGTCGCTTTTTTTTGATGGAAGAAAACGTGGCAAAAAAGGTAAAACCCATGCCTTTTTTGGCACGTTTTCTTGGTTCGACTCAATAATGCATAACAGGTGTCCAACTGGAAGTTATCAAGTTGGCGTCGTTTTTTTGATACAAGAAAACGCAGGGAAAAAGGCATGTGTTTTATTAATCCACATTGTATCAAAAGTGAGGTTAAGCTGTATCATGTCACGTTATCAGCTGACATCCATTAAATTTTTGGGTTTATTGTGGACATACTTTACATTGTTTACAAAAAATCAAGGCCAACTTGATCACTTTTTCAGTTGAATACCCAATATAATATCTAGAAGCTGGAGTTAAAAAAGATAACTTTGATGTTAAATTGAAAGAACCATAATTTGCTTCAAAATAAGAATTGGTCAAGGTTTTCCAGAAATTTGGTGGAAATTCGTATTCCAGTTTGACTCCTACTTACTTTAATTTTCTAATTTAATTTAATTGTGTGAGTGAATTTAATATTTTTTTACGTACACGGCCAACTGAGCAGAAATGTAACTTAGGAGTGTTTTCGAAGAACGCTTAAATGGACTCTAAATATGGATCACTTTGTTGAAATATTTTGATTCAAAATTTTATTATTCACAAAAAAAAAATCTTTAAATAAAGTTTTTTAAACAGATTTCGTCCATTCATTATTTACGTAAAACCTCTGTGTCAAAATTCGATTTTTATATAAATTAATAGATTAATTTAGATTTATTTTTATGATCATTAGCACCAAAAAAACAAAAGCAAGCACAAGTAAAAAAAACATTTTATCTATTTTATGTTTCATTAGTTAATAAACAAATAACATAATTAATTGATATTATGCCCAGAAAACAAACCACAATTATTTATTATAAATTTACCGTATGTTGTAATGTAATATAAAGATATAACAAATTTGTTTATAAAGAGGCTATTTATTCCTTTTAGATAAAGTTGTACAATCTTAATCTCACACAAAAAGTTTATTGAGCATTATTATTTTTGCAAACTAACTTTTCAAAAGCTAAACGGAGAGAAATAATAAGTTTATGAACACACTTTATATAAATAAGTCCTTTTTATTTAATTATAAATTCCTCATTAACTTTCATGAAATATAACATTTCGTTTTCGAACTCCCGAAAATTACTTACAAGAATCATAAAAATAATTCTTTGAGATTCCAATGTTTGAAAGTTCAGCTTTTGTTCGACTTGCTTAGAAAACTTGTAAAAAATTACGCCATGTTGGGTCAGTTCTGGATATTTAAACTCTTTTCCTGGAGTTGTAGCCATAAACCGAGAGAAATCACCGCTATTTTACAATCATTCAACAAAGGATCGTGCTCTGGCATCACAAAATATCTCGTTTCTACACAAAAATATAAGAAAGTTTATGCCTTGACCCTCATTACATGAAAGCTTGGTAAATACTTAAAAACGGACTTCACTACGTCACGAGTAAAAATAAACCAAACGGAGAAAGCTGCAGACCACTTAAGTTTTATCCTTTGTTCCAACTTCCAGCTTAACATAATTACACGTCCTTCTAAATTAGACTTCGAAAAAAGCACAAATGTCGAAATTTCGCCGTTTTTAATGGGATTTTAATTACGTCTTCGGTTTCAAGCGTCACCCGAACGGAAATGTAAAACTGAATCGATTAGAATTGTTTTGTGATTTTCATTCACAAGTCTTCGTGCGTCAGTCCGAAAAACAAAAAAATATAATTAGGAATCGATTAAGACAATGAATTCAGTGTCTCTGCGACGCAGAGGAATATCTCGTAGGCATCAGGAGCGGTCAAAGGGACTTTTTATTATTCATTATTCAAGACAGTATCAGATTTATTTTGAAAATAAATGATTACGTCCTGAATGAAATTCCCTTATGGGTCCGTGTCGTCCACTGGAAACTAGTTTGAAAAGCTGGTATTTATAAAAAATAGCTGCGTGTATTGAGCCAATCAGCATAATAGTTAGGTACTTAACGGGACATGAGAGGGCTTTGTGTGCTACCCTCAATGCGCTTTCCCGTTTTTTACCAACAGGTCCACCCAACAAGTATATTGCCGATTGTTATTATTATACCATATTTTATTGTGATCTGTACAACTTGTCAGGGCTGGAACTTGTTAGCTGTGATTTATTGT